AAAAAATGCCAAACTACTGCCGAATTTCCTGTGCTATAAATACCAAAACAACGATAACCCATAATATTCAGACCAAAACCAACTTAGAAATGTTCGTTTCTTAAATTGGCCCGAATCGGGAATCGACCCCCTCATCAAGCGCTCATTGTACTAACTGCAACACCCCGTAAACTGAACCCGACCACGCGCCGCAGGCCGAGCCCGACCCCACCGTAGGTGGGGTACAGTGCTCGTATATTACTATTTTCTTGATTTTGTTTTTGATTTTTTTTTCATTAATTATTCTGTCGTTCTTAGTTATTTCTTTATAATCATGATTACACCGTAACCTGTACTTTAAATATGTTGCGTTCGCTTGCAACTCTTACTTTATAACGTATTATGTATTCTAGATTAAGCAGCAATTTTACATCGCATTTCCGATTGGCAAGCCTTAAATAATAAATGAAATTAACGCCCATACCAGGAAGACCCTTGTTACCTGGTACTCAGATGTTGCAAGGAATGCAGTGGATAACAAAACTTAGGTCTGATATAAATAAATGTTTTAGGTGCATACCATGCTCATATATATGGTTAATTGTAGTGAGTCACTGTGCGATGTGCAGTATGTGGTGTGGCGGATCAAGCAGTAAAATACTCCGTGTCTAATCGGCTCTTGCGCAGCGCGAAATGCGCGCCATCCGTGCAGCGAAATTTTTGAACATTCGTTTTCATATTTGTTACTGTGGTATTTAAAAAAGTTAATTTAAAACAAAGAAAAGTTGTCTATAGTTTCTAATTATAGCATTCAAAAATACCATTTTTAACCAGAATGCATTGAATCTCAGAATCTCTTGTGGTTTGTTCTCTATCGACGGCGCCGGTTCATTGCAATGTAGCACCGCAATTGTCTGCTGAAAATGTGTCTGCATAATTATCATCATAGTATATCTTGTAACACATCATACCCAAGGCTATTGTTAACGTACGGAGTTAATTTATTGGACATAATTGATAGCGTACACTGAACTATATTAAGTGGACAGAAAACTGTGTTCGTGTTTATTCGTTGAGTGACTCAGAGCAAATCCTTTTCTTTTATAAACTTTAGTGATTATAACAAAGTTCTCTTTTCGACCATTCGGCCCCTTTCGACCCCTCTCACGCATACAGTTGTAAGTATTTTTTATGTAAAATCAGTTTTTTTGCGTGTCGTAACTTAATGACTCGTTAAAAATTACTCCGTAAAACAAAAGTTGGAAGAAAGTTAGCCGTTTTCGAGGTTTTGAATAGCACATCGTCGAATATTCAAACTGTTCCCGCGCAAACAGTTGTAATTACATATACAATATTATGCGACGAAGCATTCTGCGATTGCTCGACCAATCACGCGTCGCAACTCCAACGTTACGACGATACGCCGACGCGACGAAAAACTTGTCGCGCGTATTCTTTATTAGAAATAATATTTTCAAACAATTTAATAGTTTAAAGTACAAGAGTTATTTACAATAATGGTTAGTGACAGTTCACATAAATTTAGCCTTAAAATATAATAATAATTATGAATTAGAAAGACATAACCTTCAAAGTCCCGGTAAATATTTAAATTACAATCTATTTTTATGACAAACATTTCTCTCAAGTGACCAAAATTTAATAGCACTGTGAGAGAACAAAAGTACCGAGAACGGACACTCTCCGCTCCTCCCTAGCTTTACATATCGCACCACGCCCCGCACATTGACGGTCACATAGACTGAACGACAACAGTCGTCGGCGAGCCGTTTTCGCATAAGACGGCTTTGATATTTGAATATAGTTTTCATTTATTCATTACGAAATTTGGACGTCAATAAATAACATCATCTATACGTTACTATTTATAATGGTCGTGCTGTGTACGGCCGTTTATAATCATCTAAACAGGATAAAGAGGGGAGTTTCTTTCGTTTTCTGAAGGATGAAACGAAGTAAGTATAAAAAACTTATGTCTGAGACTCATTCGGTTATTGTTTTTTTTTAGTGCAGAGTAATATATAATACAGATTTATTATATCAATACAATCAGACGCCACAACTTCGTGAGCTAGTAGACAAGGTTTCGCGAATTTTCAATTTATATTGCCGATAAATATGACGTAGTGAATATACCTAATTATTAACTAAGCAATAGTAAACTTGGACACGCAATTTCAAATACTTTGGTTACCTTATTTAAAGGTACCTGTCCAAAATATAACATTTTACGTGCTTTTAATATATTTTTTAAATAAATCGTCAATATTATTCTAGTTAGTGAATAAATGAAAAATATAATATTATATCGATATAAGTTCCTAATGAACATGTGTAATTATTAGGATTCTATTAATAGAATTATAGGTAACAGATTCGCGTTAGAATTTTCGCTATGTCGCCGCTCTGACCACGTAACGTAATAGTATGAGAAAGTGATGGGTAACCCTGCCACTAGACGCACACATTCGCGCGAGTACAAATAGCGCTTTGCTGTATGTAGTAGTAGGTAAATACCTTTCGAGCGTTGTATAGAGTATCCGGGGTGTGGCACTGTTCTAATTTTAGATTTTCAAATATTTATTGGTCCAAATAACGATTTCACTATAGTTTTTATTTTATCCACATTTTCTCATCATAACCTAACAACATACGACTTTTTTTTTGTTGGAAAGAACACAGAGAGCAATTCTCAAGGTATCCCTTTTCCTACCTTATCGTCACGCCACAGCTGACCTTTATAGGAGAACCAAGGTTTTGACTGTGCGCCAGCTCTTCGTTCTTGACATTATATTAAAGCAACATACCTCACTCACCTTTTCTCCGTCAATGGATGTTGGACAACGGCGTTTTAATCCTGTAAGACGATACAACCGACTTTCTAAAAAGTTTTCAAGCCGATTCTTTTGCTTTCTGGGTTGCTACCTTTATAATAATATAAATAGGACATTGACCATATTCCCTTTAAATAAAAACTCTTGCAAAAAGAAAGTAACAGAATGGTTGCGGGGGCTGGATTATGATGAGACCGAAAAGTTACTGGCTGCTCCAGAATAGTTTAACACATAGTAGATATACATATTGTAAATAAGTTGAAATATAAACATACACACACAGACCTACACACACACACACATACACACACACATACTAACACACAATCGCTAAAAGGAATAAACTAATCCTACTAACACTAGTTTTCAACGCTTTTATTTATCAATTTTTTGGTTTTTTATGTTTTTCTTTAAAAAAAAAAAAAAAAAGTTATAATTGTTTATCCCACAGTTACCGCATTAGAGAATTTTGTAATTTCATAATTATATTGGAAATGTTATTCCCAAGGGGTGGAGACCTGATGACCTGAAATACAGGCCTTGAGCCTAGTTTAGGCGTCAGTCTCCCACAATATCTTTAGAATAGTTCATATTGCACTTGTATTATGTTTATTATGTTGTATTGTGGTGAGAAAATAAATAAATTATTATTATTATTATTATTATTTTGCTGGTCTAAATTGTTGAAACAAACGTCGTAACTTGCTGTTACGACTATTATGTACGTTCAATAAATTAAATTTGCATTTGTAAACAATCGTATATCAAGGATACGACTTTATGTAGGGCTGTGATTTTTTACGACCTTTTGTGTATTTATTATTTTAATAAATACTAAATAATATGGATGTTTTAATTCAAAATATCGAAGAATCTCATTAGTGAAAAGCTTTTACATAAAAATATTACCTATTTACGTTTTTAATCTTTATTTATAGAGTCATCACTTCCCCTTGGTGTTGTAGAAACGTAGGAAATGTGCGAATCTGTATTAATTACCAATTTTTCTTTTGCTAAGAGATTTAGATGATTCTATTTGGGCAAAATTTAATACAACTTCACTCGTCATGTACAAAATTAAAATGTCTAAATTCAACTCAGAGTCTGAAAAATCTTTGTAGTAGCCCTAAACGGACATGCATCCAGGTTAAAGAAGTTGTCGTTACTCATCTTCAGAACAAGGTCATATACTACCGCTACGACTTGGTAACCTAAAGTTCTACGACATTAGTTCTCGGCAAAATACAACTATGAACTTTGTAATAAATGTTTTTTCGAAACTTATTTTTATTCTCATAAAGATTATTTTTGGTTTCGGCTTATAAATACGGCTTTCTGATTGATGTTAATTATTGCGAAATATACCACCGACACCTATATTACAAACATCCATATTTGTACGAAACGCATAAACCTAGATTAAAAATTTAAACATCTGTCTCTCGAAATGTTGCTTTTAAGAGTTACGACTACTTGCTTGGGACGCGAACACGAACGTCGAACGAAGTGCTATTTTGATAAATGTTTACAATGAAGGCGACATCCGCCGGAATTGAATGCAATAGGGTGAAAAGCGGGAAATAAAATAATTCAGGCCGGCGGGAGCGGCGGCGGCGGCGCCGGGGGATAAATCACGCCCGCCACGACACTTTGTTCTCCGCGTTCGCGGGGAATATGAATGGGCACAGAATTCATAACAACCGGCAAATTCACTAGCTTTGGAAAGTGAGTTTTCAGAAACAGTTCTACCTCTGTGAATAAAATCATAAAATCGCGAGTTTATCTAACGCCTGTATACTCTGCCACCGCCGTCTGGTCGACAGCTGTGTCTGTGATCGTTTGGCATAAGAAAAGGAACGAAACAGTGCATCGATTAAGGCGGAGAAAACTGTTTGATCCAAAAGCTGTGTCAGGGCAAAACTTAGAAGATTTTATTTACACTTTTTCTTAAAAAATTTGTATCCACTTATATTGGAACTATGAGTACACTAAAAAAATTTTGATTTGATGCAAAACGACGCGACCGCACGGAGTGAACGTCCGTCCATTCAATAAAAATGAGCCAAATCCAGTTGCTGACCGCGCTTGGAATAAGGCACTGTTGTTTGTCGTGAGATTTATCATGTATATGTAAAGTGTCATATTTTTATTTTGCTTTTATTACAGGTCCGCTGGGCCCTCTACCGAATGTGACAAGTGCCGACGTGGGGTTGAAGGAAGGCAGTTGCGCGCTCGGTGACGTGGTCTATATGTCGGGCGACGAATTTCCGGGATCCGGCCCGTGCGAGCGCTGCCGCTGCGCGCACGGCGGCGTGCAGTGCGCTCGCACGCGCTGCGAGCCTCGGCCCGGCTGCAAGGCGCTGCACCGCCCCGACCATTGCTGCCCCACATACCAGTGCGGTGTGTACATACCATGTATTCCCTCCCCTCTATAACATCGGGTCCTTCAAACGTAGTGTGAAGAAGCATTTGGCCAGACCGGCAAAATGATAGTGACGGAGTGAAGATATTTGTGTTTTCCATCCGTTACTCTCATCTCTGGACTGTATTCGCACTTTCCATCAGGCGCGGTGCAGTCATTTTGCCGAGTCACAATAAAAAAAAAAATAAAAAAAAAATACCAGTATTCATAACACATTAAGCAATAAGCGGCTACACTGCTCTCATTACTTTACTGACCGCTCACATATTCAGGGACCTAATTTTTTGTAAGTCAAAAGAATGTACCCCAAATACTATACCACAGAATACGTGAGACTAGTGTCATACCAAACTTATAAAAAGTATCGGATGTTGCAGAATGTGAGCAGGAGGGTCGCGTATATGGCAACGGCGAGAAACTGGTGGACCCGGCGGACCCGTGCCGAGTGTGCTACTGTCAGGGCGGCGAGGTGGTATGCCGGCGCATCGCGTGCTTCTTGCGCGATGATTGCTCGCCGCGACTTGTGCCAGGCCGGTGTTGCCCCGAGTACGACAACTGCCCGCTCAGAGGTAACACGCCTCGATGTTTAATAAATGATATTTGCTAGAAATCTACAATAATAATACTAAATAATGTTTGTAAAATCTACTTATACGAGTATAATCAATGATCTTATATATGTGTATATAATTTTACATATAATTCTTTGTTAGAAAGCTCATCACCTTGGTATTCATGGCTCGCATTTGCGTTGGCTTACTTCGTATTTGGGAAATCGCACGCAGCTCATTGCAATCTATGGTTACGAGTCCGTTCCTTTTGAACCTACATCAGGCATACCTCAGGGCTCTAATTTGGGTCCTCTTCTGTTTGTATTATTTATAAATGATCTTGTGGATTCCATTTCTTTGCTCCTGTCTAGCTTACGCTGATGACTTAAAAGTATATTGCGAAATAAAAAGTGACAAAACCATTCCAAAACCCAAATGGGTTACCATACTGTTACTGGTATGATTTTTTCCTTGGTCCGCAGCAATTTAGAGTATTGTTCAGTTATATGGTCACCCTTTTATAATTATCATATTGACGAAGGCGGCTTCTTCGGAGCTTGAGCTCTAGGTTTGGAATGCGTAGGAAATTGGATACTTACGAAGCAAGACTCAAATATTTTAAGGTACGCCCTCTTCAGTACAGACGTGTGATACTGGACTATTCCACACTGTTTAAAATTATCAACTTTGAAATGGACTCAAGTAAGGTCTTAAGCCACGCCTTGTTTAAGATTGGTAATAAATGTACCCAAATAACTTTATCTTTGCCATGTACCACTAACAATGTCTCATATAATGATCCTATTTTTCGCATGTTTAGAGCTCATAACAACTTTTCTACAGATTTGGACTTATTCTCCCATAGTCGCTATACTTATTTAAATATTTATAAGGAGAAGCTGATTATGTTGGATATTTAAGAATCTCACTGTTTTTATGTACGTGTAACATGATATTTTGCTATTGTTTTTAAGTGCAAATTTTTTTTTGTTATGTTTAATAGTCTGTTAATTTGTAAGTACTTTATTTATTTCGCAAATGCCGTGAGTGGCTGTCATAGGAATACAAATTTACTCCTATTATAATGCCTGTTAACTTTAAGCATCTTCACAGTTTGTAGCTATGCCAAAAATAAATAAATAAATAAATTACATTCTATATGGTTGCAGGAGTCACGGTGGTACCAGGCGTTACTCCCTCCACAACAACAGAAATCATCCAGAGTAGCCCCGCGCTCCCTCCAAAAGAAATCATGAAACAAGAGATCACCATCAAAGAGATCACCCCCGTCTCCGAAATACCAGTGATCCCTGAAGTGAAAATTAAGGAAATTTTGCCCTCACCCAGCATCGAGGTCACAGAGTACTCATCCTCCAAGTCCCCCCTGATCGTGCGAGAAGCTACATCTGAAAAGCCTTTGACACAAGACGATGCACTGGCGAAAAATGATACTCCTGTTGTTATAGAAGTGCAATCAACCTTAGTACCTATGCTAATGCCGTCCGAAGTCTCCACGGAAGGCAGCGAGAGCAATCCGGATACAAAAGCCACGAATGACTCCCCTCCGTCCAAGATTAGTTTCTCAACTCAAGATTCCATCAACAGCGAAATTTATCCCTCAATTCAGAGCAGTTCGCCAACAATGGGTGTACCATCTATCAGCCTAAATGGTGCTTCGACTGCCACTACCAAAGCCCCTGTTATCGAAGAAGAAGATCCTACAATATTTGACCACAACCCGGCTTTCCCGCCTCTACCTGATGACTTGTCGGTTTTGCGAAACCATGAAGATGAAATTCTTCCGGAACAAATTCCAGAAGAACACGTTTCTGAACCGCAGGAAGTTGTAATTATTTCTGACGCATCTTCTTCCCCTGAACTGGATACAAAAACAGCTATCCCAACTCGAAAAAATATTTTAAACGAAGTGCCGCTGACTACTACTAACGCACCATCTACTACAATAAAAGACGAAAAAACCTCGACAGTTCTAATTAATTCCAATGACTTAAGTACGTCTAATTATGTAAACACGCTTAATAACTTAAACACAGCTAGTGATTTTAGTACTGCTGAAGCAATGGCTACAACTAAATTAGATTCAATTGTTGGCACTCAGAGCACCATTACACGTGTGAAGGACAGCCCTATGCTAAATATTAGATCTGCTATTCCCACTGAAATATTGAACATTCCGTCATTCGTTCCCGATGAAATAACAGACGAAGTTGACGTTGACGATGTCATCAAATCTATCCCAGAAAGTGTTTCAGTCCCCGCATCAAGTTTTACAGTGGAAGGTGACAAAATTGTGAAAATAGATGATAAAATAATTGCTACGTTTCAAACACCTACCCAATTTAAAACAGTGCCTATTCCTACAGTAGCAGATCCTAAAACTGTATCTGAAACTGAGTCACAGAAAGTATTTGAAACAGTACTACAAAAATCATCTTCTGCTGCCATTCAAACACCTCAGGAATCAACAGTAAGCTTGATAGCCAAACCTCACGTTGTTACTGAGGGCACGCTACAGACTGAGTTAAGCTCATTACCTATCGAAACCAGTGACCAAAATCCAAAAGAAACACCTGAGATTAGTTCAAAGGAAAGTGTCATTACTTCGACTGAAAGTTCCTTGTCCACAGAAGAACCCACTACCAAAATATCTAAGCCGTTAGAATCAGATGTAATTACGGTATCCAGTGCAGTACCGTCAACTGATAATCAATCGTTTGAAAATTTTGAAACAACCGAATTTATTTTTATTTCGTCTGGTTCGACAGAGAGCGTAACAGATGCCGTCGAATTGATTAAGATATCCGGTGAACAAGAACAAAGTTCTGCCATAATCGAGCCTGCTCAAAGCCAAAAGAACAATGTCCTCACGGACCTTATCACCTTAGTGGGTGACGTAGCATCAATTGGTGACCACACAGACGTTCCTGACGCCCTTCGTCAAGCAACATCTTCCGTCACCAGTATCTCGGAATCTGAAGATCTAATTCCCGTTAACCCTGGCTACAAAAGCAAAAACAGTAACTGGAACTTAAACTCTATCACTGAAACATCGCAAGTCAAAAGCAAGAGTCCGACGGTAAACAAACAGAGAATTGTGGAGATCGAGGGCGAAGATACTGATACCATTACAGACTCTCCCCCGCCCAATGACAAGGTGGAGCCGACGACAAAGCGGCCTATCATAGACAACGTGTCCGACGACAAAAAGCCGGAGAATATAACGAGTAATAAGGAAATAGAAATTATCACCAAATCTTACGTGCCTACTATCAACAGACGGCCGACGAAGATTGTTATGAAAAAAAATAATGAGAAACCAGTAGCTGAAGAAACGGCGACAGAAGACACATTCGAGTCCAGCGAAGAGGAGTCGGTCACCGAGAGCCGTACCAGCACCGTCACTGCCGCCGTTGCAGAAACGACGGAGGAAGACGAATCCTCACCCGCTGTGCAGTGAAAGCTATTCATTAATCCACGAAACCCCTATCCTGAGCATTTTGTAGGGAGTATGCTTCGTTATTGAAGCTCCTATTTAACTATAGAGACTATTAGGTTATCAGAACGAGAAATTATTATTTGTCAATTTGATCCGAGCGCGGAAACAGTTTCCGTGTGACGAAGCTCACTCGTGTAGTGTAGTGTAGTATAAGTAGACGACCGAGACTCTCGGTTTAATTTTTGTGTACTAGTTGGACAAATTATTTATAATTATTATAAACTAGATGTAAAGGAGCGACCCTCGCGCTGTCCGCAATGTGTCAAATTATGCAGGATACTAAGTGTAGGCGCATGCGCCAGCTGTCGATTTGTCGGAGCGGGTGATTTGCGCGCTAGCTAAGTTATTATTTATTTGTTTAGTGAGAGTCGCGGTAGAGTGATCGTAAGTAAGCAACCAAGCTAGTCAACTTGTGACGCCACGTTGCCATTACTGCTAGCTAATGTAACGAAACATGACAAACACTCGCGTTAACGTAAGCATTCCATAGTTTTAGTTCCTTTAGGTTGAATCATAAGAACAAAGTGTGCGAGCGCGCGCGGCGAGCAGGTGTCGCTGCTCCCGCGCATAACAAAATTTGGTACAAATTTGATATTATAGAGACATTTATGATGCCGTCAGACGTACTGTAGAGCGCAAATGTGTTCGCACATAGGTATATTTATTATTCACGTAGTGGCGGGACGGAGGTCGGGCAGAAGGCTCATTGTAGCGTAAGCTGTACTGTTCCCTTGCCAGTGTCAATTCAGTATGTCATCGCGCCGGCGCCACGAGGCCGCGCGGCCGCCCTGGCCGCCGGCGATCGCCGCCCCTCGCGGCTCGGTCTGTGTTTCTTGCTCCGGAAGACCGCGCCTTTTCCCGGGCAATAAGCGCATGCTCATTATTTTATTTTATTATTATTATTGTTTTTTTACAAATAAAACAAAACTAGACTGAAATCGTGTTTTTTTTAAATAGTAAATAATTAATAAAATTATATAGAAAAACGCTCGTTATTTGAACAGTCCCATATCATTCTACATAAGTTTTGTTTATAAGTAGTGCCCCTCGTTATCAAACTCTTGATTATGCAGGAAGGGCACTATGACCTGTGCGCGCAGGAACCTTACAAGTTCAGGTTCTGACCTCAGATCAACAACTGTACAGGGTCCTCACAGACCTCTGTCGCTTAACTTCATCCGGTTCTTCGAGAGGCTAGTGCCTCGGGTGAGCCGCCCCGGGTGCAAGTACAGTACCCTCCCTATTTTCCTGATAGGTACTGGAGATGTAGGCATGCTCACTTCCCGTTGCGCGTTGCACAACTAGCAGTTGCCACCGCTAAACCGTTGACTCTGAGTCCACAACCAAATCTCCTCATTGGAGGCGGAGCTGTAAGACACGCTCACCTTTCCGACGCCGAAAAACGACGTCTCTCCAGTTCCCAATAACCTATCTATCTTATTCTCTTATATCTCTGATATCTAGCTTATTCTTTAGTAGTAAACGCAAAGGCATATCACTGGCGGAGGACTTGGCCAGGACGCCCGCTGTATCCTGGTCTTGCTGTCGAGTCCGTAGTCTCTCCGGAATACCCCTATCTGACCCTATCGGGTCGGTAGGTTGGGACTCATTGCTTGAACAGTCAAGAAATTAGTTTTATGTTTAGAACAGAAGCTATTTTTCTGTTCACGCTCAGGCCCGCACTGGGGCAATTTGTGTCGCGGGTGCCATGGACACACACATAGACGACCACAAATTACACCCAAACTAATGAAATAAATAAATGTAGGCCATACAAAATATTTCTCCCGGTCCGTCCCGGTCTCTGCAACGCAGATGTCCCAGATTTGATTCCCTCTAATCGGTAATCGTTCGACCATGAAGGTCCGTAAATAAGTACTTATTACATAATTGAGATTAAAATATCTCAACAAAAAATATCTTCTCTATGAGGTCTACGCGACGGCACGAGACCTTGCCTTGTCGCGGTATGTATCTAGGCCCTTCATTTCTAAGTTACATGCATTTGTATTAGTTACATAGTAAGCAAAGAGAAACGAAAACATCATAATAAAACATGTCCGACATGTCCCTAAGAATTGCAAAAGTTAAGTGGCAATGTGCAGGGCACATTGCTCGAAGAACAGATGGCCGTAGGGGCCGTACAGTTCTCGAGTGCAACCGCGTACCGGAAGACGTGGTTCTTAAGAAAAATATAGGTTTTACAACTTAACCACCTAGGACTTAAATTAAGTAACATTAGCATGCCAGTGCAACTTACTGTAAAATACTAGACAGTATTTTGTCAAGCAAATATGAGGAAAATAGTACATAAATAATGTTTATTTATTTATTCGTGTTCAGATTACAAAGATCCATAAATACATACCTTATAGACTAACATACATAATAATACAAAAAAAACTACTCATATAATATATACCTTAAGGAATAACATACATACAATATAATAAAACACTATTTCTAACTAAGCGACGTGTGGCGCAATCTGGTGTCAGGTAACCGGCCGCGGAATCGCCGATACATGACACCCTTCGGCCAAAACTCGTCCTTCATGAAGGTCGATAGATGTCCGGTCGGCACTCTCACCACAAACGAATTAAAACTTACGTTGTGGCGAGACTCCAACCGCTCGACCCCCAGGGTGTATTTGGCTTTATGTCTGATGTACTCCACTATCACCTCAGACTTCGTGGAGTAATGCAGTCGTGTCAGGTACAGCCGCGTCGTCGGTATGGCCGGACGCAACAGGAAGTTCGGTCCTGTCGGTGCTGTGCCACACTGGTTACGCCTGGTCGGCTTCCTCTTCCTCTTCACCACCTTTGTGAAGCCGTCCTCATCGCACCGGTCCGTCTGCCTCAGTGATTTCGCAATTTCAGAGACAGGCTCACGGAGATTGTTTTTGGTCTTAGCCGATTGCCGCCGCTCGAGTTTCGAAGTGGCGGGTCGGCTGGTACATACGGCTACAGCGACGTATGCACGTGCAGGGGCTATCATGCACACGCGTGACGTTTCCGCCGGGACGGAGGTGTGGGCAGCAGGGCGCGGCGCATCACGCGCGACGGCAGCAGCGATCGGTGACGCAACCATTTGTGCCGGATCGACACTGCTGATGGATGCAATTTGCGCTCCACGTCGCGTGTTTATATTAGAGGCTTTTGATGACCTATGTTGCTTAATAACGTAACTTGGGCACGCAGCTCACTTATGGTGTTATCTGAAGCCTCCAATTTAAACTGCAACTCGGCCATGCTTGACTTCAGAGAAGTAATATCCTTCAGCAGCCTGGTGACATCGGCGTGATAAAACGTGATTGGAGGCAGTTTGTGCAGCTCCTTCGCCACGAATGTAGGCACGTCGTCCGGGTCAGTCTCCTTCAGGCGTGTGATAATATCCTGGAGACTTTACGCCTCCATGTCTCCGGCGAGATTGCATCTTTGGCTCTCTGAGGCTCTCGCTCATCTGAGGCTCTGGAACAGCAGCATCTTGCCACTGCAAATCTCATCCTCGTTGAAGTTGGATTTGCAGATCTGCACAATGCTAACCTCGTCCGTGGTATTAATGGCATGTTGAATAAACGCCAAAACTCATTGGCTATGAGTTGTTGGGAACCCGTTGCCCGTTACGTGCAGCGGCCTAAAATGCAACTCGAATTATAATTCTCAGTGCGTGGTGCAGCGCGTCCGCTTCCGAACGCGCACCGAACTGCACTGATATTAATTGGTAGAAGAGGAAAATCTAACAAAAATATTTATATAGCATTTTTCACAATTGAATAATTTAATTAATATAAAAGAAATTATTTTGTTCGCTTTTCCCTTCACCAATAGCCTCACAACAAGTGAAAATAATATTAGGCATAACTTAAATAGAACATTAAACAGCTTGACATTTCATTATAGTAAATTTCATTTTATGGATACTAATAATTTTATTAGTAAATATTTTTATTTGACTAAAGATAGGTATTATCTTACTAGTTATTTTAGGGGACAGATAGCAGAGTTGCTCTCATATTATATTAATAGTTCAGCCAAATCGTTGGCTACCAGACCGGCTGCTTCTATTGAGCAATCCATTGACATAGGTCAGTTTACTGACATTAATCAATCTCTTAAAAATAATCCAATTTCCAATTATTTATTTCTACGTATAACGTTAGATGCTAAATTGCAATGGGTCCACATATAAGTAAGTTATCAAAACGACTCTGCAGTGTACGCAATAAAAAAAATACGGAAACTTTCAGACGTCGAAACCCGTAGATTGGTTTACTTCAGCTACTTTCACAGTCTAATGATACACGGCATTTTGCTTTGGGGTAATGCCGCCGATATCAATAGACTCTTTGTCCTGCAGAAACGTGCAGTTAGGGCAATTTACAATCTGGGCCCCAGAGTATCTTTGAGAGATAAGTTTAAGGAAATTAATATTCTTACATTAGCGTCACGGTACATCTATGAAAATGTAATTTATGTTAAGAGGAATAGTAATTTATTTATGAAAAATAGTGACAGACATAACATTAATACGAGGAATAGAAATAAACTAGCTTTTCTTGATAGTCGTCTTCACAAAGTGACAAATTCATTTAAGGGGTATCAGTGTGTACTCTTCTATAACAAGATTCCGGTTGATATACAAAATTTGCCTTTCACGAGGTTTACAACTATAGTCAAACAAAAACTTTATACTAAAGGTACAACAATACATATAACATACAACTTCTGCGTACTTGGATGACAAAAATACGTTTATCTCATGGAGGTAGTCTCGATCCTGATGTTTGAACGCAAAAAATATGTATTGTAAATGTTGAATGCGTGCGGTGCATGACCGTTTCTATTAACCCCGACCTGAGGTCAATTGAAACGTTTTCCGAATATTTCTAAATAGCTCCTGCCTAAGACAAGTGCAAGTAAGAAGCAAAGTTAATAATGCTGTTATATATCCAGGTAATTTAGCTATAATCAGAGCCCATTGCGAAAAATATAGAGTATTATAATCTTAGTACAGAGTACTAAAGAAACCGACCTCAAAAGTCATTCATCCCTAGTTTGCCACCCTTAGCGGTGGAATATTCTCTTGAATTTTTTTTTAAATAATAACGCTCACAATCAACATAGCCCCGCACTAGGGAAACCCTGTGTCGCGGGTGCCATGGACACACACATAGACAACCACAAATTACACCCAAAGTCACGAGAGAAATAAATGTAGGCTATACAAATATTTCTCCCGGCCCGGGAATCGAACCTGGGACCCCTGCGTGGCAGTCCGGCATGGTAACCGTTCGGGCACTGAGGCAGTATTATTTAATTTAAATGGGACTACTACTGAGGTACCCTCTTTCCAACAAAAAAGAATCATCAAAATCGGTTCACTAATGCGGTGTTATCGCGTAACATACATACAAAAAAAAACATACCGTCGAGTTGAAAACCTCCTTCTTTATTTGAAATCGGTTAAAAATGCAGATACCGTAACCGATTTTCTTAAAAACGTTCCTATTGAGTCTAGTCTCCCCTACTAGGTACGCACATACATGTTGACTACGGACAACGAAATTATTGCAACACGATTATCTCAGGCGCAGGCGCAATAGCCTTGTCGCATCGTCTCATCGTCAACGGTCCAAGGAGCTTCACGTTGTCTCTATCTCTCGTCGGCAATTTTTTGTATAAAAGTGAACTCTCGACCACGACATATTGGCCTGCTCCAATATCTTTAGTTACAATCGCTTTCTTGAGGCGTTAGCTGTTCACCGACGCAGCAGTGAATTTTATTACAAAGCCGACATATATGATACAGTTAGTGAACAGAACTTGTTAAGTTTTATTACAAGTCATCCTTGTAGTTATACAAATCAAGCTATACTAATTTTACGTATACGTATGCAAAGGGACGTGGTGTTATGTTTAATAAACTTTGCTTGCGTAAGCGCATAGGTGGCGCAGCGGGGGCGCTCGTGTCGTTGCTAGCGCACACGTTGATCTCAACTATTATACGTGGATACTTTTATTACGTTATTACTGAATTGGATTTTGTGTTGGTTAATTGCCTGCTTTAACGGCTATGCTAGGACGATGACCATGCCGATGGCCTTATCAAAATCTTGGATTCTTCCAATGGGTACCTACTTTCTAGATTCGTTCTCTCGCGAGAGAGTGAAATATGAGCTGAGAAAGAGCTCTGGGGCGTGATAGTACACGGACGCGACTGGGGAGACAGAAGGCCTAGGAAATCTTGGGAGCTTTCTCGTTCTCTCCTAACATTCTGCCATTGTCGCTAGTCCTCCTTTATGACTAGGAAGTTAAAGTTAAAGTTAAGAAGGATTGTGTTGAAGGGTTGTAACTTCATTTAAAAATAACAAATAACGTTGGTGCACCAACGACTTTGTTATTTTTTTCTTTCGACTTTGTTATTTTTAAATGAAGTCACAATCTTCCTGAGAATCTAGCGAAGTTGTATGATTACATTGGTTGAAAGCTCAGATCGTGGGTTTGAGTTCGCTAATCACGATAGCGGCCGCGCTAGTCGCCAGTAGTCATGAGTAGAATCTTCCTTTTGACTTGACGGTTGGGCCATGAAACTCGCGAGCTTCCGAACTTTTATTGAAATTTCTCATGACGCATTTACTTGTACTTCATGAGTAAGTTTGTAACAAAATGACGAATACTAATAAAATGCAGTTGTCGTATAACTATTTGGCATTAAGTTACTTGGGGAAATTAATCTATAAACATTTTTCCTAATCTCAAAATCAATCTGCCACTGTATTGAAGGGCTCTGAAGGCAGACGTTTGTCTTTGAAAACCTGCAAGTTTCTCCAGAAACGGACTCGTCGATTACCTTAACCTTACCAATCGACATAGCCCGACAGTGATGGCAAACTTTTATTGGAGTTTGGTACAATAATTACGACACAATTCGTTGTTAACCTCGTCGTCGTCGTCGTTAGTTTTAGAATAAAGGAAAACACAGAAGATGTCAAGATTTCGAAGACATACATGCAGGAGTGTATTGCGCATGTCCCCGGGTGAAAGTGGCGCGGGAGGGGCGTGTATATGAGTGTCGACGGCGTGCGCGCGCTCCACTCCCGCGCAAAGCTGCAGGTGAGCTTGCCCTGCGCTCACCGGCCGCTTCCTGAGCCCTACCACCGCCGCAGCGACACGCACGGCCCGCGCCGCGCCTCTCGCTCATTTGTTGTCTACGACTAGCAAAGCCCTTGAAGTCCTTTGTTCGGATTTCTTTATTTCACTACAGTCCTCGCATCTTTTTTTTAAATATTTCCTTTATATCTTCTTTTGTCCTGTGCAACCGTGTTCGCTGCGTTGGCGTGGCTTCAGATCGGGCTCCGGCAGTGGCTGCTGGTTATTATTTCCCGGCGAAATTGTGAAGTGTGCAAACTGTAGTGCGGTGCAGCAGTCGCAGTTAGAGGCTTTCCCGCCGGTGTAGCGTAGATCACGCAGCACCATATACGTAACAACTGATGTGACCTTTCTAGAAGCATTCTCTTATAATATATATTACATATGCAATTATGGAAATCATAACTTTTTCTTTACTTTAAGCAGTATTCATTAAATCACTTTCGTACATTCCTTTTAGTCAAATCAATAACTAGGTATTGATAATTTTCTACCAGGATCTAGACAATCGCAGTGGAAAGTGAAAGTCTCCGAAGTGTTGCATGGATTGAATCGTAAACAAGATCGCACGTTTCATAAAAGTATGGGGTGCAGATACAGGTAACTGTACGTTTAAATCTGTTGTAAAATTACTTTTTCCTAGTGTTCTCGGAGTTTCGTCTGCACTTGTTCACAATGAAGTCCATGGTAATCGTCGTGCTGGCCTTAGTGGCGCTGGCCGCTGCGGCACCGCAGCGCGAGGGCGCTGCCTTCACCAAAGAGGCCATCAAGCAGGCGCAGAGCACCTTCCTCATCCCCAAAGACGCTGAAATCCAGAAGGTGACATTTCATAGATGTTTTCTACATTGTTCAAAGAAGCGTCATAACAACAGTTTAATCTTACGAGTGTTATTGTGACAGGTTCAAGAGGGCATCGAACTGGCGGCATACGAGTCGATTCCCGGTAACCAGCGTATTAATTTGTTCGAGATCCTCGGTGACCAAGTGCCTTCCGAGGTGATCAACAACCTCCAGGGTCAGATCGATCAAGTCGGTCGCCAGTAAACACCAGCTCACCTCGCGCCACGCCGTCCGAAACAATACTGTAAATGCTGTATAACATGCGTGGACGGCAAAAGTACAAAATATTGTAATGGGAGTACGTAACGGTGCTTCTGGCCATTTAGTAACTTGATCGCTTTGGTGAGAAGATCCGTTACTGACTCCTACCTTAGTGCAAACGACGTGCATGGTTCCTCTCGGAGCCGGGCGCGACCAGCGATAGCTCGGCGCACGTCCACTTTTGACTAACATTTAACTTATTGGTGACGCAATTATAAGACAGTGAATGTGATATTGTATAACATCTCTTTTTATATGTTTGTACATACATTTTAATATAATAAAGTGGTCGACCGATGTCCAATCAGTTTCTTTGTTTACGTAATAATACTAGAGCCTCGGCCGTGTACATACTCGGTTGAGTCGGGTCGAGGCTTGGACTGGAACTTTGGGCGCAGAAGATAGCTTTGACCGGTTTGTTGCGATGAATTACTTAGTCATTTGATCGCTGAATATGTATTAGGCCGAGCCTGTCGCAACACCGGCGCCGCACCCCCGCGTCGCTGTCGATAACGCTTAAATCCGGATGCTATGCTAATAGTGTATCAGATTCGAAGAGATATCGTTACAAATTACATAATCACTGCATATTTCACTTTCCTGGCATGCTCCGATCATTGGTATTTCCTATTGTTGATTCAAAACTTGTTCTAAGAGTAATGTCGGCGCTGCACCCTCCAAGTCAGAAAGGTTTTCATTTTGAATTAGAGGGTGTGTGGCTCACCGTGTTTGACCACTAGGTACTTCTTATTGGACGGTGGAACTGTTTCAAGGTTAGTTTGACTCGAAGACGAGCCTCTATTGGAGGCCGTTTCAAATATTTGTACAATAATAAGCGATTGCCGACTCTAGATCAAATAAATGAAGTTAACAATTCAAAACAACAATTGCCGTTCTGTTTGCGCCGCGTATGGGCTTAAAATATATGGCAGTGTTGTTGTCCTACGTATGAACTGCACGGGTGGTGGATTCGGGTGACTGATATCTATTCAATTTTAACCTGGTTCATTTTAGGAGCAAAACTAAAACAAGAAAATAATAACATCAAAACTCAGCATCAAATGGCGATAAATTAAAATATAAGATTTAGATTGTTAGGTTTTCGCGACTGCTACAATTGAAATGAATCGTTTCTAGATCCGAAAAAAAGTTTAACAAGATTATCATCAATTTGAAAGCATTCTCTTCTGGAAATATTCTCTGTGGACGGTGGTGGCGTTACGCAACGGCGCTAGTGTCGCGCACCTCTGCGATTACACGTTCGTTCGCGCCCGTGGACGACATCTCGTCTCTCATTCTCTCTAATAACGATCGGTGATTTTGATCCACCACGAAAAGTTTAAATGATAGATTTGTTTGTTTATACATGTTATATTATTAGTACTAAGAGCTTGAAGTTCAACTATTGTAACTTGTAGTCGTGGTTCACTCAATTAGTGATGCACCGTGGGGATCGAGGACGTAAGCAAGTTTGATTAAGTTCAGAAACGACGGCATTTACAATTTTTATGAAGTGTTAGTCACGGAAATAACAAATATTCTTTTATAGAAACAAGGCCATATGATTAAGAACATAAACGACGTATGCGTCAGAAAAGAGATTAATCTAGTGCTTAGAAATTACTTTCTAAAGCATCAGTTGGGGCTTAAATCCGCCGCGTCGTCGGCGCCGGCGGCGGCGTGGGCGGGCGCTGCCGGTACGACATCGTTGTCGAAGTCTGGCGCAGACTGTAGAAACTACTTGTTTCAGCTTTCGTCTGTGTTTTGTATGTGAAGAGCCATTTGATGATTATGGATAATGATTCAGCATTCGTTACTGGACCTTGACTAAGGTGATGCGAATTACTTGCGCGCACGCTCACGCCGCGTCGCCTCTTAATAACATCCGTCCATTTCCAGCGACGTAACGCACGACCGCGACTGCCGCAGTGGCGCAGGCGCGGGCGCCGGCGTGTCACGATTAATGCGCGAATGAGAAAGTTTATTTTTTTTTCTACGCGTTAAGGATATAAATATACGACGTACCAGAAAGTCACGAAATTGTCACCGAATTAGAAACATACTAGCGAGCTGAGATGCGTCATAGCTTTCAGTTGTGCGCAGACAAACTATACAACAAATAAATAGATAACGAGTGGACACTTAGTGCATAACTTGCAAACTATTGCATAATACATTTAATATGATGTGTTGTACATGTTCTATCACTTTCATGTCCTCGTAAGTGCAGCTCACGATTTCCGAGGCGCTTCGTAGACACGTGGACGCGTCTGCCTCGACGACGACTTTGGTGGATATCGAAAGTTGACTTTTTCGACTACTGTCGGTATTGATCGCAATGTGTGATATTTCTTTATTCGTTTATTGAAAACATACAATAATGTGTCCTGTAGGTACATAAATAGTTCAGTATGTTTGTTAGGTACAAAACAAAATACAGGTAGAAAACTGTTCTTAAAACGTCCTATTTCTTTAAATGTTACATTTAAACGTAAGAAAAGAATCGTAGGAATCTCTATAAGCGTAGCGTCAATCAAAGATTTCCGTCGTGTGTTTTTATCTTAAAATAATGTGTTGTTCAATATTATATCATATTTGTACAGATTTGACATGTGTTCTCTAAAACGATTTTTCTCATTCCTGGTAGGCATCCGATAATAGTAGCAAGTGAAGCGCCTTTTATAGCATGCCAGTGTTCTGCGTAGTAAAATCCTGTCTCAAATAGAGAGCCCGATATTGTAAAGACTTGGTCTAAAATCTATAACAATTCTGACTTTTCTTACATTTGGTACTAAAATAGCCATGTCCCTGTGTTACAACTGCATTTGCTTGGACACGCAATAAAAAGCGTGCACTGAACATGTAATGTGTATTATTACTTGTAAATAATGTTTTAGATTTTGGCCCGTGGTCGGAGCATACGCTTTACCACAGGCACTAAGTATTAAAATATTATGAATTATAGATTCAAATGAGATTTACCGAAATGATTTCCTAAACATTCTATCACATCCTAATTCATTCACAGTGCGTCATAGCAAGTTAGCAGCGCACCGTATTTTAAGAAATTTCGTTTTATATTTAGGAATATGTTATACATATCGACGTCGAGTGAACTCAGTTGTTAAAAATTAATTTAGTAATAATTTGTCTTATATTTTTTCATTTTTGTCGTATTACATATTATTATATTACCGAAATGAAAGTATAAGCAACACTCTCTGAGTTACACAATATAAAAAAACACTTAAACAATTTAGTGAATAATAAAATTTGGTTAGTCTTTAATATTAAATCCCAAATTTTGTTCACTTAAAATTACTAATACAAAGTAGTAATACAAAAAAATAAATACTAATACACACACTCAACATAGTAAAAGCCGTATCGTTGAATCACTATATTATGTTTTCGATAAAGTGTATAATAGGTACCTATTTTTTCAATTTTGAGACCAGAGGGTAATTGCAGCTAGTAGTTATATTTTGACATAATTTGGGAGTAATCGTGGTGAGTGGAAGTTGCACCTGCACTTGCACAAGCGCAGCGCCCGCACAAACGCCCGCACAATACACGTCGCGTCGGTACGTGCCATTGGCATTTGGTTGTTATTAATTGAAGTACAATTTGCGCACGCATGCAAATCCAACTAACAGTGGTCTGCGAATGTCGACACATCGTATTATTCGATATTGCAAGAGGTGGAACAAAAGTTGATACATGTCGAGAGGATGACGAACACTATCAAATGTTTTACCAACAAAACAACACAGCTAGTTAATAAAAAAATACAGTTCGCGAATTATATTAAGAATATAAACAAGTTAAACAAGATTCCTTTTCTTAATGTTTGACGATGTTTGTTCAACGGTCTGCGCGCCACCATTTGAACCAAACAGACACGAACAGCGCATGCGCGATTAACATAAAAAATTATAGCCATTTCGAAATACGATGTTGCGTTATATCGTTGCGACACGTTTTACTGCGTATTCATATCTTCTTGTGATTCTTAATTTATTGACGTGTATAGACAGCTGCGTGCCCCTAAACAAATATCTCAATACCACGTTTTGATTCGTCACGAGCGTAGTTGTAACAAACTCCTTCATAAACTGAATAAGAAGAAGCAAGTACAATTAAGTAATTGTAAATACTCGGTGAATTATTTGAAAATACCCATAACGGACCACGGACGGACCACGAAGTATGAAACAATACTACTGAGCATAGTCTTTAGCTATGTTGGCGCCATCTGTGTTAAGGCAGCCATAACAGGGCAAGCGAGTTGCAAGAGCGCTGCTGTGCCTTGGAGACGGGCGCGATCGCAACGACGACGCGCGCCGGCCGAGGCGGTCCGGCGCCGGCGCATATTTACGCGATAGTTTGTAACTGACTGTGTAGATGGTGCCGCTAGGCCGTAGCGACTCTGAAAACTGGGACGTTAAAGATTTCTGAATGGCTTGCAGTGCCATAATTGCAGTGCCACTTAGAGCTATTCGGGGATCTTAGGGGCACTGCCGCTGCGCCCGACACCCTGAGACATAAGTTGACAAGTCCCATGTGCCTGTAATTTCATCAGCACCCTTACCCATCAAAACCGGAACGCAGTTATACTAACACTACTGCTTGGCGGCAGAACTAGGTGAGGTGGCAGTACTTCCCTGCATGAACTTTTTAACAAGGAGCTCGCTCTTATTTACGTTGAAATACGGAATGGTTCGCGGCTATTTTGCGGAAGTTTACACACAAGCATGTTTTTCTTGCATACAAACACACTCTTTGCCCGACGGCGTTCCGAGTGTACTAGCTTGCACCTTTGCTTCTTTTGGCGCAAAATGCTATACAAGGACTACCAATTAAATGTTAGAATTGGCAATTTGTTCCCTGCAGTTGTACTGGTGTACCGTTCGTTACGAGCAGCAGATCTGCTTATTATTAAATTGATTAAGTAATGAAACTGTACACTAAAGAAGCGAGGCCAACGCGTATGGACCAGATTAATGCAATATCGGACAAGTGAAAATATTTGCAGCACTGAACAGCAGATAATGATTAGCTCATTTGAAGACATTGGCGAGGCAATCACGCTGGGAAAATCTTAACACCGCTGTGCGCGTTCCGTTTTTGATTTAAATGAAGACCCCTCTCAGGCGAGGGCTTAGGCCATTGTCCACCATTTTCCGCACTGGCTCAATGCGGGTGGGGACTACATACGTTTTCTGAAGACCCATCTCCAGTAGTGGGACGTGTAAATGGGTACACGATGATTTATAGATCCCTTAAAAAAACTATAAGCAATAAAAAATTCACTTTATTTTCTCTGCAAAATATGTAACACCAGCGAGGTGGAAATGATCAAGATGCAGGATGAAAGATGGACAAGGCAGGGAATGGAGTGGATACCGCGTCAAAGGCAAGCGAAAGAAGGTTAAATAAAAACGTGGACCCGGTTAATTGCGAAAGATTAGACATAGTTAAAGATGGAGAAAGCTTGGGGAGGGCTAAGAGATCGACACACAGTTCATTAAGTACTCATAAATAGAACGCGTCATGATGGGTCGATGCAGTTCCTAGTGTAGCACAGGTTTTAAACCTATAGCAAACACCAGCTCCTACAAAATACTGCCCTAAAGGTACTAAGATGTTTATGTACTTATATTATTTGTCGTTTGTATTATTAGTGAGTATAAACGATAACAAATTGTCATCTGCCTCGGGATACTGAGGTCGCAGTCGCATATGCGGGCCGGAGGCCTCGCGCGTTGGCCGTGAATCCTAACGGCTCCCCGTACGGGCTAATTGTAGAGCGTTACAATTACCCCGTACCGTTCTAATTGAAACAAAAAGTGATCCACCCTGGCGATGGCAGCGTCTCGTGGAAATATTCATCATTGTCCATCGAGTTTCGTTCGAGTTCGTTGTACAATGACTAATTCACCAATATCAAACAGTGTGCTGTTTGAGATTTTCTTTATTACATAAAAATAAATGTTAACGGAGGAGAGTCTCCACTTATACTGTGCGTGTTGTTCAGCGCCGTGATTAAAAGAACGCTTTAAATTGACCCGCGTCCGCTCAGGCGTTTTTGTCGCAGCGCGCATCTCTTGAATGCGGGCAGTGATTAGCTACAGTGTTGCTGAGCGGTACATGTCGGGTTTCGCGAATGTTGCGATTTCCAGAAGGAGCATTGATGTCGCGCACCTTACGTGCAGGGCAATTAATTTATAAGTGGATGCGATACAAAAGCTGCACCAGCTCACTAGGGACGGACTCCGAGACCGGCTAATACTAATGATTCGTAAAAAAGAAAACTTCGTCCAAATTGTGAGTCCCAATAACATTTTACGATTAAATGTTTGTTTAAAGAAATGGTACAAATTCAAATGAGAATCAATCAAGGTTTAACAGACATATATTATTCAGATCGACGTTTTAGACGATTATGTGACAAAGTACAATATCATGATCAGATGGAATTATTGTGGCATGATTTATCTCGACTCTATATTGTCGCAGCGGAGGGTGGGAAAGTACAGTTTTTGCGCACTCGTCCAGGCAAGCAATGCGCGCGCGCGCTCCACCCGCTCCACCCGCCTAATACACTCCATTTGCGGCATAAGCGATCATTTCAACATTAATTATAAGTAAGTTAACAAAACGGCTCGGCTCTGCAGTGTACGCGATTAAAAAAATAAGGAAACTTTCAGACGTCGAAACCGCTAGATTGGTTTACTTCAGCTACTTTCACAGTCTAATGACATACGGCATTTTGCTTTGGGGTAATGCCGCCGATATCAATATAATCTTTCTCTTGCAGAAACGTGCAGTTAGGGCAATTTAACTGCCTCCGTGGCCGAACGGTTACCATGCCGGACTGCCACGCAGAGGTCCCAGGTTCGATTCCCGGGTCGGGAGAAATATTTGTATGGCCTACATTCATTTCTCTCGTGAGTTTGGGTGTAATTTGTGGTTGTCTATCTGTGCGTCCATGGCACCCGCGACACAGGGTTTCCCTAGTGCGGGGCTATGTTGAGTGTGTGCGTTATTTATTTATTTATTATTTTATTTATTTAATTTACAATCTGGGCCCCAAAGTATCTTTGAGAGATAAGTTTAAGGAAATTAACATTCTTACACTAGCCTCACAGTACATTTATGAGAATGTAATTTATGTTAAAAGGAATAGTAATTTCTTTATGAAAAGTAGTGACAGACATAACATTAATACGAGGAATAGAAATAAACTAGCTTTTCTTGATAGTCGTCTTCACAAAGTCAAAAAATCATTTAAGGGGCAATGTATACGCTTCTATAACAAGATTCCGGTTGATATACAAAATTTGCCTTTCACGAGGTTTAAAACTATAGTGAAACAAAAACTTTATACTAAAGGTTATTATACAACTTCTGCGTACTTGGATGACAAAAATCCGTGGTAGTAACCCGTTTAGCTCATGGAGGTAGTCTCGATCTCTGATGTTTCAAATAAAAAAAAAATATTGTAAATGTTATTTACAAAGAGCAACCCCTAGAGTTTCTTGCTCATTCTTCTCAGGGGAATCTGCCTTACCAATGAGCGGTAGAGTTTAACCAATGTGGCGATTTCAAGTGTAATAATGCTTACCTATGAAATAAAGATTATTTTGAATTTGAATTTGAATTTGGAATTAATTCCCAATTTCCTTTACGGCGATACTACATTTTGTCAAATCAAAACGTTCGTCCATTGTACGTACTATTTGCGTATAGATGTAAATGCGGGACGCTTTTAGTGACGTCACATATCTTAAATGACACACGTTGTTTCCCTTCCCGTTAAAGTAATCGAACTATCAAAGAAAAATGAAAAGTTACTTCGTCTGTTGTACGAAAGGCTTAATGGCTACAAAAGAAAACACTAAAGTGCGTTGGTATATTCTGATCTGAACATCTCAGATCCAGCGCGGCGCTCAAAGAAGGTCCTCGCGAAAGCCTCTCTCGGCCCGCGAACACAAATAAATATAAACTGTATTTAGCTTACAACGGAAAGGTTTGCACCGAGTTCGAATCAGATTGGATTGGAAATCAGTTAATTTCACGGCACCTGCAGCGCAGATAATCGGCGCAGGCGCAAGGACTTTTGCAGGATGTATTGTCAATTGCATATTACAGGGAGCGGGAACCGCAATGTACCGAAACCAGTTAAATTACTTCTAGTCAGGGTATCACAATCGAAGTACAATGCAAGAAGCCCGTTAGTTTGTATGCATGTATGTAAAATTATGGATTCAGTGTGGTATAACTTTAAAAAAGGTAAACATTGTTTTATCTGTCCACTTGCACACTACAGGGACATAGAAAAGAACAAATATTTATTTGCAAAAATAAAGAAGGAATTGTAATAACGGAAGGTCGATCGGTGTTGGCGAGACGGGAGGTTTCGCGTCGCCTCGTGAGTCGGCGGAGGTCGACTCTACGCAGGGAAGGCTTTGAAGGTGCCGGTGCGCATTTCCCGCGACTCTGCGACCGCACCCGTCAGTGTGTTGTTGCGCGCCGAGCTTGCTGCCCGCCTTCGCCATGTCCGCGCCGCTCGCCGCTCTGCTCGCGCTTGCAGCGTGCAGCGCTCACGCAGGTCCGCGCATGCAAATCCGCCGGTCGACGACCCCGTGATATATGCTGTGGATAAACGCCTACCCACCATATTACCTTCCCGGCCCCGCGCTCCCGCTACAAGGGATCCTTTTGATTTTATTGCCTTTTTGGCCAACCGCCCGGCCCGGCCCGCACACCTGCGACTTTGAGCGACGGGTAGGCCCGCTCGCCTCTGGGTTCTTGTTCTGCTCTCATTTTTGTTAGCCGCAAATCGATGGACCCTTGTACTGTGACCTATTTAAGATGGCTTTAGTCAAATACGCGTATCGTACCCACTTAGATCATATTTTCTGTCGTGATTGTGCAATAACATGTGCACCTCACCGCTGGCGCAGACACACGAGGAAGCGCTGGTAATCAGTAGAAGCGTGCCATGCAACCCTCGGCGCTAATGGCAGCGGTAATTGTTTATACCTGAGGTACGTCATTGGCATTGTTAACATCGAAAATTGTATAAAGAAAGAAACGAATACGTAATTCTTATTTGGCAAATTACGAGCAACTGCATAGTCGCTTTAAGAACACAATATTATGTATGTAGGATGAACAATGATGATTTGCCATTAATGAATATTTAGAAAGGGCTTAGGGTTTACTATCCGTGTATCGCTTTGAGAGAGATTGAGTTGAAACTAATATTTAAAAAAACCCATTGAATCCTGTGACATAGACATAGAAGGGAGCTTTTACCTACATTTTTGCTTTAAAATAATCAGTCTTGTAAAGGTCGACATGTTAATTTTTCAAAGCGACTAACTTTCTCGTTTAAAAGTCACAGAGTCCTAAACATTGGCGTAGAATCTTTCAATGTGGTACAAAGGAAAACCCCAAGATAGAGTAACTCAAGTGAATTAATTACTCAAGAGAATACTCAATGAGTAAATTCCACAAGTGTAAAATCCCTTTCCCGAAGTGATTGCAATACATTAATAATAATAATAGCGTAGCATTTTGTGTTTAAATTTAATACTTAGGACATGGCAGGATCGATTAGTTCGGTGCGCCGGAGCAAATTGTGTCCTTAGTACAAAAGACATCAACGCGCTCCGCATTCATTAACAGTTTTGGTATTTTAATTTACCCGTGTTCTTAATGTTTCTACTATCTTCGATGACTTCAGTGGCCCAACATGGGCGTTTGGTGAGGAAATCCTGGTTCGATTCCCGGTGGGCCAATTGGGAGACGATGTTTCTAAACTGGTTTTCATAGGACATGGAATTCCCAATCTACCTGATTCCTGATGATTGATCGGTAGTCGTCCGATACATTTATTTATTGGTTTAATTTTATTCGCAATTTCTATTAATACATTTTGTGGATATTTTCCAAAATGAAATAGGAAGTCATATAACATAATTATTCAATAGTGTCTATAAGGCAACGTTCTAAGTATTAGATATATATGATTTTGCGCCGCCTCAACCTACGCCTGCGCCATGACCAAGCGGAGAGTTCAACGCGCGGTTAGTATTGTTTACACACCAGTGGACCACTTTATTTGCCAACACATTAACATAATACCTACTAGAATGTCGTCTGTTCTCGCAAAAACATTGATAGTTATTTCTAATTAGGGGCTAATTCTTTTATTAATTTTTCTACCTTATGGTTGTCACAATAGTAAAGCTTTTCGCCCGAGGCTCCGTCGAGACATCAACATCACGACCTCGTTGCCTTTTCAAGAACGATCTGACACAGTCGTACACGACTCTTGATAGTCCTGCTGCGTGCTTCACCCGAGAGGCTTCGTCTGTGTTAATGAGGTGAACTCCTAAGTAACAGTACAAGTGCTTACAGCGAGTACATACATGTACCACCATTCTTACCACTCGTACAAAAGAAGAACAAACATTGTGCTCTTAGTAGGTTGAATAGTTGAAAAAATATGCGTGACAGAATGCTGGTATTCTATGGCGATAGGGCAACGCGCGTCACAGCGATGCGGTGTGGTCGATTTTGTAGCCGGGAAATGTGTGCTACGTGTCGCGGAGTATAGGGACGAACGGCACTTGTCGCATTTGCATTATTACACAGGTCACCACGCTCATTCACCGCCGTCGCCGCTGCCGCCGCCGCCGCCCGCCCACCTCCCGCACAATCACGCCGTCCGTCGGGACAGTACATCACCGCTAAAACGTATCACCACATCTACTTAATAGTATTTTAAAATTATAGTTATTGTGTATTTATTTAATTAACAGCATTACACACCGCTTCTCGTTTTCGTTACCGAGCAGACACTGACTAATACAAAATGGGCTAATACTTACTTACTTACTTCAGTCTGTCGGTCCTGAACTGGAATCGACGGAATAATACTACCCACTCGAGCTTTATCCTCGACGCCAGTTCGCTCTCCACTACGATACTCCATTATCCGCAGTCGATGTTTACAAACATAACATAATATATAATTTTTATAATATATAAGCTTTTAATGATTTATGCATTTTAATGACGGTAAATCATTCAAACTCCCAAGACTTATTTTAATCGTAAGACCGTTCCATTGATATGGAGATAACCGCTCAGTTAATGCATAAGTGCCAGCGTGAAATACCAAAACCACGTCAAGTACTCGCTTCAAGAAATTGTTCAAGGAAAGAACGGAACGTAAAGATAAAATCAGTTGGCCGAAGTTAGTTTATTTTAGCGGACACAAATAACAATGGTCTCAAGTACAGTTAATTATGATTGCGGGAATGTAGGCGGGTCGAGGATGGAGCGCCGAACGCAGACAATAGTGGAAATGCGACCGTTCCCAGGGTGTCGCCGCCGCCCGGCGCACGGTCACTGGGTGGAACATTTGCTTGCGTTCACTGTGCATTGCACGCGTTCCCCTAACTACAGCGTCGAGAGCCTGGAACTAAAGAACAATGGACGCGCAGCGACGAGCTTCGCTTCAAGTAGTATAGCGCAATTGTAGCACGAAGAAGTTCCCAGGCGCGAAGCGCTGGCCGGAAGGCCACGGGAACCTTTGTGTTGCCCACGACAGTTACATTAGACTGTACGCTCCATTATCTCTCGGCCGGAACGAGACGCTGCCTGCGTGACGCGTGACGCCATTAATTAGTGGTGCTCGTTCTTTTAATTAGAGTTTATTTCAAAGTAGAGTAGCATCGTGGCATAATGACCATCTTAACGTGATCGCGTTCAAATCCAAAATATCTTTATTTATGTTTCGTAGGCAAACGAATTACTCTTGAAATTGTCAAATTGAATAAACACTGATTCGTAACGTAAGGTACATGCCGATTAGAAGTACCTTTATCATCTACGATATTTATTTCAAAATATCAAATGCAGAAGTAACCTAAAATACATTAGTGGATCGCTACTACTCAGATGCTATACAATAACGTTTTGAATGCATGAAGTATTTGTTTTGGTATAGTTTTAAATCTTGTGAACATCAGTAGGAATTCATTGCACGAGTAGGAGGATATACTATTGCTCCTTAAAGTACCTAATTTAATAGCATTTGGCAGCCGTTCACTTTTCTTCTTGTGTCTGTCACTATTTTTCGTGAATTAGGTACTTCTTTTTAAAATCAAATCAAATACTTACACTTTAATTGTCAAGTTAATAACGTCACCATCATTATTTCAGCCGAAAGTTTGAAGTTTCAAATTGATGACGCGTGGTGATGAAGGGCGACTAAAGTTTGTTTGTTTGATAATGTAGATTTGAATGTGTTGTAACTATTGTTATATATTTATTTAAGGTGTGTAAAATAAGTATGAAAGCACTTTGATCGAAGGTCGCACTCAAATTGTTTATTGTTCAGCGCTTCGTTTTGGTGGAATTTATATATGCAGTGCGTATCGACGCACTGGTCAGCGTCACGATAATATAAAACAGAACAAAAAACAATTAGTAATGTTTATATAGAAACAACAAAAAAATCTGTTTATAAAAACAACAAACAAGCGCGTAAACAAGTTGTTCATAGGTGATTGCTCTTGCGATTGTAAACATTGCGTGTGTTATCCGTTAGCGGTTGATTTTAGAAATACGCGAGATACGACATCTATGCTGATGTGTGTATAATTTGAAAGATTAAGCTTTACGAAGTGATAGACCAACAGAGATCAAGTAGTGCACTCACAAGACTCAAAACACGTGCGAAATGCGAGACATGGGTTCAAGGTTGAGCATTGCTTCATCATCGGCATCTTTTTTTTGTTTCGGTTATATAAAGTGCAATTAGAGATGCGTACGCTGTAGATTTCCAAACCAGACATCGAAATGATGACAAATTAGAATTCAGAGTAGCGCAACGCGAAATAGTTGTTCAGGTAGAAAGGTACGGAACACTTTAACCCATAGTTGCAATGTGTCACGGTTTGACCTCGCCCGCGCCGACTTTAATCGTTTCTATTGACCTATTATAAGGCGCAGGCAAAGCGAAGCCGGCGCTTCTGTCTGTGATTCAGCGGGAAGCCCGTCTCTTAAACCAATGGTTTTCTGATACGCAATTGACAATTGTTCCAAGTGGTGGACGCCCGCCATCGATTCCCAGCCCATTCTTTTATTTTGTTGCATGAGTCAATCGTAAACATCTCGTCAGGCAATCACGGGGGCGGCGATCGTGCAATTCATTCGTACTTAAACGCATTACGGAGTGACTTTGTGATTCACATGAATTCTCTTTAGACGCTTTCAGGGAGGACGACGACGTGGCCCTGAAAGTATACCTTCAAAACGGGCGCTCCATCAAAGCGTTGGGTAATCCTGATTACAATATATATATAGGAAATGAAACTATTAAATCGCGTATATTTGTTTTTTTCAAACAAACCGACGTTTCGGACCCTTTACAGGTTCCATGGTCACGGTTGACTGAGGTGGTATACAGAATGCAGTAAGTGGTATGCAGGACTCCTGCATCCTGTATACAGGAGTTTACAAGCTTGACTGTGGGTGCGGTTTCTCCTATATTGGACAAACAAAGCGAAGTATTTGTACCCGCGTCAAAGAACATATAGCTGATGTCAAAAACTGTCGCGTAAACAAGTCTGCAGTCTTCGAGCATGTCATAGATAAACCTACACATTCAATGAAGTTTGACAAACCCCAGGTCCTTGCAAAAGAAGTCCGTTATCTACCCAGGATGCTGCGAGAGGCCATTGAAATTAAAAAACATCCTAATTTCAACAGGCAAGATGGTTTCTCCGTACCACCAGTTTGGGATCCAATATTTCCTCTAATGAAAAATCCCAAACAGACATAAGACTGCAGTACTAATTAATATGTTTTAGTTTATTCTAATTTCTATTACCGTGGTCATGGGACCTGTAAAGGGCCCGAAACGTCGGCTTGTTTGAAAAAACAAATATACGCTATTTAAATCCGGAAAAATAGTTTCATTTCTTATGTGTAACAATCGCGAAAACCTAAGAACTCGATATACAATATATATAATTGTATTTTAAGTAAACAGTGACACAAAACTGTAATTGGCCGCTACAGGTTCTCCAGATTTACCGCCGCCGGGCTGTCTGTATGAAGGCCGTTGGTACGTGGAGGGGGCGACGGTGCGTGCGCGGGAGCCGTGCCTGCGCTGCGTATGCGGCGGGGGGGCGCTGACCTGTGCGCGCCGAGCTTGTGCGTTGCTGCCCGATCCTCCGCCCGCGCGCTGCCACGTGCTGCACCGCCGCGGCTCGTGCTGCCCCGAGCTCCACTGCCCCGGTAGGTCACTTTGACTTACTCATTAGAGAAATACGCATTGCATCAGTAGCCGAACGGTTACCATCTGGGCTGTCACGCAAAGGTTCCAGATTTGATTCCCGGGCTGGGAGAAATATTTGCATTGCCTACATTTATTTATCTCGTGAGTTTGAGTGTCATTTGTGGTTGTCTATGTGTGCGTCTATGGCACCCGCATTACAGGGTTTCCCCAGTGCGGGCCTACGAGTGTGTAAAGAAAACTAAGCGATTTATTATTGTTGTTAAATTTTAAATCAACGTTTTGCAGATGGAGTCCGAGCGATGGAGTACGGCGCGTCAGCGAGGCTAGAGCACAACGACTTCTCCGACGGCGACGCCTCGCCGTCATACGGCCATGGTAAGTGTGAGCATCACTTGACCTCGCCGTGAGCGGATGCCAGTTTACCATGATAATTTACGTACATTACGTACGTCTGATGGCACCGGAGGTTTTCCAGCGTGCGTGGAAGGCGGCGTGGTGTTCGCGGCGGGCTCGGCGCTGGCGTCGCGCGTGGCGTGCGAGACCTGCTTCTGCCTGGGTGGCTCGCGGCGCTGCGTGCGCCCGCGCTGCATGCCCGCGCCGCATGGATGCCGCGCGCGCCCCGCGCCCGGTGCCTGTTGCCCTCAGCGATACTATTGCGACGAACCCTCTCCTCCCCTCCCGTCTCACAACCACCACCGCCACGGTCAGTCAATACATATTATTTACTGCCGGGTTTGTGCACGATAGTATCGATTAAAGGGTGAATTTCCGAATCTGAATGGCACTTTTGGAGTGATTTTTGTAAAACCTATTTTTCTTTCGGTTTTAATTTAAAGTCTTAAACGTGCGAATAAGTACAAATAATGTCAATAATTATTAAATCACAAAAATATTTGAGTGAAATACAACAAAAACGATATTTTAGGTCACACGAATTAGATTGCGATAACACGAATAATTTTCGCTTGAGCCTCGATGAGAAAAACGGCAGTTATGAGAAATTATTAATATAACACACATTTTATCATTGACCAAATAATATTTAACATGTAACAAACATTTTAATTTCACTTCTTGTAACAAAATCCTTCTCATCCGTGTAAGGCTATCTATCTAAATTAGTATATTGTTAATGTAACTTTATTGTACAACATCAATCTTTCTCGAAGGCTGAAGGTGATGCGGTATGAACTTATGTTATTAGGCGCTTTTTAGTTGAAATAACACTAATGATAAGAAAAATTTGAACACACTCTGTATTCCCCAGAAATTATATTTGTTTATAATAAATTGGAAAGGTTCGCTATGTATTCGACGTGAAAGTTAACAGTGAAATTCCACGAGTGTTTTTTTTTCATTTCTTGAAATTAGTGAGACGTGGAAACGGCTCCGTCGAATGAGAAATTACCCACCTTTTAATTTTCATTTATTACCGTAGTCTAGTAGAGTAGTATTTTTATGGGAACACAGACTCAGCAAGCAATAATGTTTAACAATAATTGTAATAATACAATAGTTATTGGAAGGGATACATTTTTTGAGGTTACCTAAAATTAAAATCAACTCGCAAATATTTTACTTTACCATACCAGATTGTGAAGTGGAGGGTACAAGGATAGCAGAGGGCGAGCGAGTGCTGTCGGCGGAGGCCAACTGCACGCAATGCTTCTGCCTGCGTGGCAGCGTGCGTTGCCAGCGGCTCGCGTGTGGGCCGCCGCTACTCGGTTGTACGCCGCTGCTACGCAATGGCGAATGCTGCCCGCATCAGTATCATTGCGCTCAAGGTATTGTATCTGTGTCACCTTATTTCATGTTGTCAAATTCAATATATTATTTTTTTACTAATATAATTAAACAGAATAAAACTTTTAGATTCGCTGTCGGCACATTTACCTATAGTGTCAGAAAATTCCCTGACTTTGACGAGATACGACGATCGTGCTATTCATGTAGCTAAATCGAGTGGGCACGAGTCTAGCACCAGAAGTGTAATGCCAAATACTTCCACGAAAAAAAACACTGCCACCGCGTCAGCAAATAAAAATCAAACACGAACGGTTGCCACTACTAAAGTTAAAAGAAAAACGAGCGATCCACCATCAGTGGCATTTAATTATAAACCGGCACAAAACAATGCAAAAGCGACGTCTCCAGCAGTAAAAACGACTCGTCAGCCAACTACGATAATGACTACTAAATTGGAAGAATCTGGTACAGAAGCAAAACTAGAAATTGATAAAACTACGACCGTGCAGCCGGAGGGCTCCGTGAGGGTTATTGTTAATGGAACCGTAAACTGTACTGCAGAGTTGACATCTTCGCCCACAAACAGAACTGCAATGAATTATACGGAAAAAAATCAACTAGAAGCGCAGCCTCGGGTGCCATTTTTGAGCGGCATCATGAGTGCTGTCACTTCTGATCCAAACGATATCATCACAGACCGAAATGTCCACGGCGGTTTCGACGAGAACGATACGTTTACGATCAACGTGACGAGCCTGCTCAGCCACACCGCATCACCCGCATCACCCGCATCACCCGCCACACAGAGCACAGTTGGCAAAGTACTACCGCCGGTATTAGACGACGGTGTCAACATTTCTGCAAAGACGAAAGATGACTACGATTACGACTACAATGTACCAACTTTACCGCCATCACTACCAAATCTCAAGTAAGTTTTTCATTAATTTCAAGTTTCGAATGTTTCAACCAACAGAGTTAACCAGTACAATATTCACCAATCCTTTTTGTGCATACTCTCAGAATCATCCCCTTCGTCGCTGCTGACGCAGTCGCAGTAGTAGACGATGACACATCTAAGGATACGTATCCAAGTGTGGAGAGAGAAGACAAATTCCCTATATATTACCCCACAGTCGAATCGAAGGTTACTCCGATTGCGACTAGACGAGAGGACGCGTATTTACCAACACAATACCCAGTGTACGTGGATAAAGACGACAGCGGAAAGTATTCGAGTTTAGCTGACGAAATAAACCTCACCAAAGTTGGGCACCCTGGGTTCAATAACTTGGCGTCAATTCTGCACGAGTACACCGTGTCAACTTCTCTGGGAACTCATGGTCCAGAGAGAAGTAAAGTGACTAAATCTCCAGTCAAGACCACTTCATTCAAACTGCCTGCCATCAACTTATTTTCACCACCGGCTGAAACAGAAGGTACTAAGTGTTTGCTACAGAAATCTTCTTTTTATTATTATTTTAACATAATTATAAATAATATTTACTGTCTCAACTTACAGTTTGACCCAGACACTCATAACCAGCACTAGGGAAACCTTGTATCGCGGGTGCCATGAACACACGCATAGACAATCACAAATTACACCTAAAAGAAATAAATGTAGGTCACACAAATATTATTCCCGGCCTGGGAATCGAACCCAGGACCGTCTGCCGACCAACAGGAACTGTTCGGTCATGGAGGCAGTTTAAAAATGTTAAACCAACTGATTGTAACAAAAATGTTCGTCTTTTCCAAGATCTTTATTATTTCTAATCTTTCTATTTATTCTATTTTATATTGGTATTTTTATTAATATTTTAACATATTCAGAAGATGAATGAGTACTGTGTGTTTTGTGTTTTCAAGGCGGTTTTATCCCGAAAGGCCCTGGCATAATTGACGAGTACTACGCCGTGTATCCCAGCACACCGCCGGGTCCTTCCGTGGCTCATCTGACCACTTCCATGCAGATCGATGTCGCCAAAGGTTCGTAACATTCCCTGTTGGCTTCACGTGTGCGTTACCAAATTATCATTTTGTTGATTATTGATCTAGGATTCTTGTTGTTTAAACGTTAATAATGTTTAGGATGTTAAACTATTTTTTTTATCTAAATCGCGTATATTTGTTTTTTCGGCCCATTGACTGAGATGGTTGTCAAACCAGTTAAGTCTAACCACCCTATTTTTCACTATAGTTACTATTATTATTAATTAAGTAAATATCTTATTTTTAATATAATTATTAATACAAAGATTATTAGGCATTATCTGGGTGTGCATGCTCCATCGTCGACCTCAACGTCACTTTCCATCAGGTGAGATGAAGGTCATATGCACACTTACATTAGAATAAAAAAAGGTCGAACACTCGGAAAAAATTTCTTCGATAAATTCCGACGTCTTCTAGCATACCGTGCCAGACGCTATACCAACTAAGCCACGAAACGAACCAGCTGACCTCACGAATTTTTTTTGAATGCTTGTTGTCGTGTCTTTGTATTTGGTTTTTCAACGACTTTTTAGTCGTAGCACGGCACCACACGCAAAATAGGCGCCTTGACGTCGAGTTGCGGACACCAACCCGTTACATCAAGTACCAAGTACGGTATTCGATCAGTATATTAATAATTATAACAAACTAGTGGAGTAATATCACAAAAAATAATTGAATAATTATTCAATAAAAATTTAAAATCTTATTTTTAAACTTTCCTAAGAACATTAAAAAATTAAGTTAGAATTTAAAAATACGGTTGCGAAAAATATAGTTTTATTTCCTACGTGTAATAATCGCGAAAACCTAAGAACTTGATGTTTATAATGTTTCTTCAGCTGGAGAATGTGTGTCGAGTGATGGCCGGCACGTGCCCGAGGGCGACTCCATCTCCGTGGCGTGCTCCGTGTGCACGTGCCGTTGGAGTGAGCTGCATTGCGTCCCTCGTCCCTGCCTTATCCCGCCCGGCTGCCACCGCCGTCCCACCACAAGCAGCGCAGGCGACTTGTGTTGTGGAGAACTGGTCTGCGAAAAAGGTATCTATTGGATGTGAAAAATAAATAAGTGACAATCACTGATTATCAATAGTTTTACCGTTGACAAATTGCATAACTATTGGACTAACAAATGTTACAGATCACAAGCCGACAGTTGCTCCTATGCCAACGCGCGACAATGAGGTCACTTTCAATAGCAGTAAAATGCCTTTTGAGATTAAATCTGAAATAGTGTTATTTGATCCGCCGCCCGACCGCAGCGTGCCTGAAAAAAGCAGCACCGAACCGACTGCGGTCACCGAGACTCTACCCGATGAGTACAGTGTAGCAAAAGAAGTCGGTACAACCACTGAAGTCACTATAAAAACGACCACTGATGTTACAAATATCCCTAATAAAATCAATAATGTTACGAAAAAAATTCAAGATGCCACTACCATAAATGCTAAACCAGCACCTGAAAAAGTATCATCTACGCGACAAACTACGACGACTGTAGATTCTACGATCATAACTCCGCTTCACAAGGAACTTAACGAAACTAACAGCCAGTCGGAGGAGTACGAAGACGACGAAGAGGACGACAGTTTCTCGTTTGGCAGTGTTTTGAAACTATTGCTGAGTGATAGTTACGATGCAACTACAGCAACGCCCAAGCGGAAGCTAACATCGCCAGCGGCAAAGAGCACCGCCACAACGATCACTACTACGGTCACGCCAACGCCACCTATGAGAAAACAGCCGTCGAAGCCCACGGTGGCATCATTCATTCCCATGTCTCATCACCCGTATATACCGCCCAAAAAAGTATTGCCACAGAATACAGTGAATAGGATAGACCACCTCGTCCTTGGCGAAGCGACAGCTATTAAGAAGTCAACGCCTCGCCCTGTCACGACCTCGTTTAGGCCAATGACTACGCATTTTACAAGAACGACCACCCGGAGGCTTGCCACGACAATGCGAACGGAAGTTACCAAAAAAGACGAAATGTCTGTACAATACACTTCAGTGGCTCACGAGGGGTCGCGGCCACAGGTGCCAAGCGGCGGGGCCTTGCCGGGGGGAAGCCTGTTAAAGTTGGCTGGATGCAATATCTACGGTCGGATGTACCGTGTGGGGCGCATCATCGCCGAGCTGTCCACGCCCTGTCAGGAGTGCCGCTGCACCGAGCTCGGCGTGCAATGCCGCGCTCTCAGCTGCTGAGGCCAAGAAACTTTTATCTACACACATATTATAAACTCTATGAAATGTATTCAAAAACCGCAAATTACGACCAGCATAAAGGTAAACTGTTTTGTTTAGAACGAATTTCTTACCTGTGAAAATGTTATTGTTGCTTCATAATAACATCGAATTCGATTTTATTATTACATTCAAATTTCGAACATCTCTAAAAAACAAAACAATTTGATTGGACCTCAATTCTAATATAAGTCGAGATGAAGTTTTATTCGAAAGTAAATGTCAATAGCAAACAATTTTGACAATTTCACACGTTAATTGATATCGAACGATATGATAGTTGATGCCGATTCTAGCGTGAAAAGTTTTTATTTTCCACTGTTTCGCCAGTCGTAAGATGCGGTTCCTGAACACATGACAGAGAGCTTATAATATGTGTGTAGATAAAGCAGTGTATGTAACTGTACATAATTAGGCATTAAAACACACGTGAGGTGTTATTATATAAACCCTCACTCATATATTAAAGCCTTTCATTACGTAACAGTCACATAAACTACTATTCGCCACTCCTCGAGGTGGTAACGGTTTAAGAGTGAATATTTAATGTCTGTCTTTCCAACAACCACTAATAGATTTTTAAACTTGTAGTACTACAGTATGTGTGATTTCAGGGCAGTGATTGGTAAAGAGTTTGTGAGATTGTGGACTGATAATTGTAGAAAATGTGTACTTACCTAATTTATTTAGCAAATAAATAATACAATAGCCGCCGGCGATGATCTCATAATGTAATAGATTCATACCATAGGTACGAGTACTCGGGACACTATGCAAACTTTACTGTAGCCAACACTGAAAACTTGTGAACATTTCTTCCGTCCCGTGCTCCGCTGCTCAGCCCCGCTCAATGCGACATTGCATTTACTATTGTTTAAGTACGTACCACACTTTTGGAATCCTAAGGAATTCCAAGAGTACCCTTTTATATTATAAGAAATATAAATTATTAAAACTTAGCCCAACGAATTTTTGATTGACATTTCTGCCTCTACTACCCTCCTCCTTGACACTTTATTTTATTTTTATTGTAATCGTACAAATTACAGAATTTTCACAGATAACAGCATTATTTTCAAACAAAATTATTTCAAAAAGAAATATCAGTAAACTTGCATTCCAATTATAACTGTACACAGCATCCTGAAAACTATAGATTGTGCGATCTTATGAACAAAATACTGGACAGCTCTTAACTACATACAAAGCCCCATCTTGCATGGAGTACTTTTTTTTTTTTTTTTTTTTTATACCTGACAGGCAAATGACTCCACTCCACCTGATGTTAAGTGGAAAGTGGTATCCAAACGCGAAGGAACCTAGTGCAGCGATGGAATCCTCACTGCACTAGCCGCCTCCACCCTGCCTGCCTACAATATGCCTCTTCACGCCTCGCTTGAAGGACCCCATATCATAAGAGGGAGGGAAGACATGTGCCGGAAGGGAGTTCCATTTGTCAACCGTGCGGCAGAGAAAGGAGCCACCGAACCTTTTAGTACGCGATGGAATGCGGCAGGTAGTGAAACGGTGACTACGAAGGCCAGCACGCGTGCTTCTGAGCAGGAACGGGGAAGGGGGGATGAGGTTGAACAGCTCCTCAGAGCACTCACCATGGTACATGCGGTAAAAGGCGCTAAGCGATGCAACATCTCTACGCAGTTGCAGAGGTTCAAGGCGTGATGAGACCTCTTCGTCGCCTATAATTCTAGTAGCACGACGCTGTAATTTATCCAAGGCATCGAGTAGGTACTTGGCGGAGCCGTCCCACAAGTGCGAACAATACTCAACGCAAGACCGGACCTGTGTTTTGTACAGCAGGCATAACTGGTCCGGCGTGAAAAAACGTCGCACCTTGTTCAGGACTCCGAGTTTCCGTGAGGCTGTTTTGATCACAGATTCGATGTAGCTCCTTGGATTCAAATCACAGCAGATTTCCATACCGAGCAAGGTGAAACTGCTCTGAGGTGAAAGTGCTGTGCTCATCAGAGAAGGCATGGGAAGGAACGGCGACAATTTTGTTGTTAACGCGCAAACCTGTGTTTTCTTGGCGTTGAACTCAACAAGATTACTGGATCCCCATGCAGATATGAGGTCCAATATCCTATTGAGCTCAACGACAAGATCAGATCGCTCTCTGTCAGTATCGGCGCGCCCAGCTGCGGGGAATCCATGATATCCCCCATGAACAGTGCTATCATCTGCATAACAATGAATATTCCCAAGTGGAAGCATATCATTGATATGCAGAAGGAAAAGCGTGGGAGATAGGACGGATCCCTGCGGTACGCCGGCGTTCACATTCACGAACCTCGAAATGCTGCCGTCAGAAACGACGCGAATTCTCCGCTCACGAAGGAAATCGGCAATCCAGCTGCATAACTGGGCTGGCAAACCGTACGCCGGGAGCTTGGAGAGAAGAGCTTTGTGCCAGACCCGATCGAACGCTTTGGCTATATCGAGGCTAACAGCCAACGATTCGCCACGTTTGTCTATAGCCTCACCCCAAACATGCGATAAGTACGCTAGAAGGTCACCCGTTGATCGTTTCGGACGAAACCCATACTGCCGATCATTAATTATGGAGTGATCTTCTAGGTATTGGGTCAGTTGTTTATTAAGGATCCGCTCTAAAACCTTGCATATTATGGAAGTAATGGCTATGGGACGGTAATTATGCGGGTCTGATCGGTCGCCTTTTTTGGGAACTGGTTGCACATTAGCCTCTCTCCAAGAGTCCGGCACACGACCTGAAGAGAGCGACAGACGATACAGTCGCGTTAGCACGGGAGTCAACTCAGCTGCGCAATTCCTAAGTACAATCGCTGGGATACCATCAGGACCACTAGCTTTCCGGACGTCGAGAGACTGCAGCTGCGTACGCACATCGCATTGTCTGATACGAATATCAGACATCGTGTAGCCACAGTGAGGTAGAGTTGGTGGCTGTGCGTTACAGTCGTCGAGACAGGAGTTAGCCGCAAACAGATTTGCCAAGAGGTCGGCTTTATCTTGCGGCTTGTGGGCTAGATTGCTGTCAGAATATCTCAGCGGTGGCAGCGAGGGCTGGCAGAAGTTCGACGCAACGGCTCTGGCCAGACGCCAGTAGCTACGACTACCTGTGGGATGCGTCAAGAGTTCTTGGCCAACTCGTGCGACGCGCTGAGCATCCGCTCTGATGTACGCTCTTTTGCAAGACCTGGTGGCATTATTGTAGGCTGTTTTAAGTGAGTTCGTATTGGGATCGTCTGAAGCTAGACCCCTGATCCAAGCGCGGTATGCAGTCTGTTTGTTCTCAACAGCCACAGCACACTCGCGGTTGAACCAGCGGTTGCGCCTCCCTTTACTGACGAGATCCGAATGCGGGATGTAGTATTCCATCCCGATTAAGATCTCATCAGCAACGGCAGTCGCGCTAGCTGTTGGATCCACCTCACTTAAACAGCGCTGCCGCCAGGGAACGGATGCAAAATAGTCCCGCATACCGTCCCAATCTGCCGACGCATAATGCCAAATGCGGCGTTTAGCCACAGTAGGTGGTGGTGGCAGTAACGTTGCCACTTTAGTGGATATCAAGCAGTGATCCGAAGTGCCCAGAGGGGCTTGGACCACCACCCGATATCCAGCCGGGCGAGACGTCAGCAGAAGGTCCAACAAAGAGGGCGCGTCACCAACCCTATCTGGAATCCGGGTGGGCTGATTCACCAGTTGGGTTAAATCGTGTGTGAGAGCGAATGTGTTGGCAGTTCTTCCAGCATGGTCAGTTTTAGAGGAACTTAACCACGACTCGTGGTGAGCATTGAAGTCCCCTAAAAACACCAATTCCGCTGTAGGAAACTGCGCCTGCGCGTCATCTGCCGCCCGAGTAAGGTGGTCCATGAGACGAGTTGTCTCCATGTCGCCGTGGTGGGATCTGTAGAGGCACATGTAGACACGGCAATGACTGCCCAGGTCAACATGTACCCCAAGGATGGAGAAGGAGGGGTCCTCCAAATGACGCAGACGGCGACAGCAAATATCTGCCCGGACAAACAAGCAGACCCCAGCTTTCGCTTTGAAGGACTCTTCAAGCATATAGCCAGGGTAATTCAAGTAGCTGCTGTCAGCCGGGCAGAGTATTTGCGTCTCCGTAAGGAACAGCATTTCTGGTCGAGCCGTCTCAAGATGTTGATGGACGGCGTGGATGTTACTGTGGAGTCCTCGAATGTTCGTGAACTCCACCTTAAAGAGCGCTTTAGTGGTGGGGGTGTGCACCGCTGTACGACCGAAATTTGTACTTTGCGCTAACATGTTGGAGGGAAAAAGAGGCGTGAAGCGAGAAAACAGTGCCGCGACACAAGCGGTCAAATCGCGGGGCCTGCTTCCCCAGAGACTTGCCTACAGACAAGTTGCGCTGATCCGCTGGACGGAAGGGCCCCCGAACCCCCCCGGGAATGGCCGCCGGGACCCCACCTCCCGGTCACCAACCGGCACGACGAACCACACCGAGATTATGCGCGGCATGGTGAGGCAGCCTCACGAGCTGGTTAAGCACGCTTGGGCCCCTGTACTGTACCGCGGGCGGCCAGCGGAACAACCGTTTCTACGGGTCTCCCTGGCCGGCGGGTCAATGCAGTTGTCCTGGCACTGGTGCGGCGGAAGCCTCCACAGACCACAAATGTCGCGGCAGCGTTCCCTCGGGCTCTGGTTGTACGCTGACTGATCCCGGAACGCATCCGACTAGCGAATACTTGGCGGGTTTTCCATCATGCGCACGGTGGTCACTAACCAGGCGGGTTTTCAAGCCCTACCACCAGTGGAGCAGCTGGTTGCTCAATATCCCTTAGTCGCCTCTTACGACACCCACGGGAAGAGAGGGGCGGTGAATTGTATTCTAATCCGTCACCGCACGGATACCGCACTGCAGTCACCTGTGGGATGGCTCAGCGAAGTACCAACTTGAGGCTCGTGATTCACTTGAGCGCAGAGCCAGGACACTTATTGGCGACGATAAGTTCGAATCTCAACTTTATAGTTTAGCCCACCGGCGCAAAGTTGCCCGTCTGTCGGTTTTTTACAGAATATATTTCGGTGAGAGAGCCCATGAGCTTCATCAGCTCATCCCGCCCGCCCCCTTTCACCTTCGGACATCCACACGTACGGCGGGATATTGTCCTTATTTGATCGATATTCCCTTCAGGCGTACTTACTAAGCGCTTTGTATCATCTTTTATTATGCGCACAGTCCAGGAATGTAACTTCCTGCCTGCGACTGTGTTTCCGAACTCTCATACAACCCGGGTATCTTTAAGGTGGGACTGAATAGGCATGTTCTGGGCGAGCTCGTTCCATCGTAGATCCTATTTTTGCTCTTGACCACTACCTAGCGGTAGTGGTCAAGAGCAACTCCATTTGGTTAAAAAAAAAACAATAATAACAATATAGAATAATTTTAAATAGAAAAAGATCTCAAAATAGGTCAAATGAGCTGTTTAATGACGGACGTGTTTTCGGTAAATTGGACTACTTATTTGCAGAAACATTATGACTTACGAAAGCTGGATTAGCAAATAATTGAGGTCGGCAAACTGAACGAGTTGGCACCAAATCAAATCCATCAAATCAATATCAAATGTCATCAAATCCACCATTAATAATAATAATAACGCACACATTCAACATAGCCCCGCACTAGGGAAGCCCTGTGTCGCGGGTGCCATGGACACACACATAAACAACTTACACCCAAATTCCAATACCACAAATTACACCCAAACTCTCGAGAGAAATAAATGTAGGCCATATAAATATTTCTCCCGGCCCGGGAATCGAACCTGGGACCTCTGCGTGGCAGTCCGGCATGGCGGCCACGGAGACAGTCAGCCATTAACTATTTTGTGCAATGTACACAGGCCATTGGTAACTGGACGGCGGGCAAGGGTTTCTACCTTAAACTTATTGAGTTTGTCTTCATAACCCAACAATTTAGGTCTCAACCCAAGTCTACTGCAAAGCATTCTTAGAAACCGACGTTGAACAGGTTCATCTGATCGATGCTGTGTATTGTATGCGGGAAACCAGATCGATAAGCAGTATTCAAGGGTGCTTCCAATCAGTGCCGTGCTTTGGCGTTAAATTAGGTGCTGTATTTAAGTTACACACAGCACATAATTATGTACGTATTGAGTGTAGGTTATATATTGTAAATCCTAATAATCATTATTATAATAACATTTAAAGCGGTAGGAGTAAAGCATCGAGTGTGAGTAAAGAAACAGTAAAGTAGATAGATTTTTTATTGCCAACAATGTAACATCACAAAAGCCGAAGAAAACACACGACAAAGTGAATCGACGAACACGAATAGAGAGATAAATATAATCAACAATGTAATGCCATCAAGTGAAATGGAAACAAACTCAACTTGACTTGATATGTACGAGTGGGATACCGCTACTGCATGAACGTCTGTTGCCGATATACGAGTACTTACATACAACAAAAATCGCGAAATATATCATTTACATTTATTCATTGTTAATTTTATCTTACCACACAAATATCACCTTCGGCAGCAAATCGTTTCTCCTAACAGTATTTTTGCATTTATAACAGACCGTTTCTCTTTTCATCATCCCTTCTCACGTTCGGACAACGTGTTATGTTTTTACATTGAAGCGATTCCCGAACGGATTAATTGAATCCTTAAAATATGCTTAAAATGGACTTTTCACGAAACTATATTTTGAAAATACTAATGCATTAATTACAAATATCTGTATTGTGCTTGCTAACTTAATAATATGACTAGAACAATAAAAAGAGCCTACCACCTTCATCGGCAGGTATTTTTCTGTTAGAAATGAGTCGCGTGAATTTCTGAAGCATGCTTCAAATAATGGTTAAAATATAATATTAGGTAATGGGCGAACTTTGACAGGCAATACTAGCACTTAAAACAAATTAAACGAAGATAATCACTAGCCATTCCGATACATGTTTTGATACAAAACAATCAAATGACGATTTCACAGAAATCAGCCCGACCAGAAACAAACACACAAACTAAATTAAGGGATCAAGCTTAGTCCGATATCATTAATGTATATCACATTTACAGCTAATAATTGGGACACTTAACAATTAATTGCGTTATTCGTTATGCTTAAAAAAGATTCAATCGCTTTACCTTCCTGTTCATTGTTCAGCAAACTCGTAACAATGCAAGCGCATTACGCGCAAATAAGTGCTGTCATATTGATACCGATACAAAATACAAAGGCAGTAGCAATAATTTTATAAATATCGACTGAACCCTTCGTAGGAAGACATTTGACAGTGAACAGTGCTCTTTGGTCTCTTTGTATACTTATAAAAATTTCATTTTAATCTATTCTAACAGTTACGAATAGCGGACGGAGAAAAAATGAATTTCTCTGGGGTCGGTCTGTTCGATACTGGCCGCTTCCTTAGCGTTATATTTAAGACCTTCTCAAGTTTTCAGGACCCGTTGATTACTGGCAAATATTGATTTCCCATGTATTACTGGCAGTTCAAGGTGGCTGGCTGGGCTCGGCCCAGCAGGTGTAGTAGAGTGCGGCAAGGAACGAGCTGCAGAGCAGCGCACCCCCAGAAGCCACGCGGCTAACGAGCACGTGTCGCTTCGCTGCGTTCTCACCTTCAAACACAACACGAAATCAGAATTCAGTATCTTACAATAACGCAGAATCGTGCCCATCTCAATCGTGGGTTTTAATCTTACCAGTAAAAACGAGAAACGCCAAAGGAATGCCGACGAGCGCCCCGCACACGTGCGCGGCCCACGCAATATGGTTGTGCGATGGCGTGAGTGGCATGCCGGCCGTGTAATCCACCAGCGCCGGCGGCGGTGATCGCAGCAGCGCCCAGCAGCCTTCCGACGCCGCTAGCACTACCACGCTTAACGGACGGAACCACCACAGAGGGATGTAACCGAACCTGGCAAAGAACGAACGAGCTGTTTCAGGTTGTTGCCTACCATTTCACATGTGCTGTATACTAGTTATGCTGTAAAAATAAATGCTATTGTTATTAACTAACCCTAGAGAGATTGTTACTCGTTTTTCTCAGAGGAATATTATTTACGAAACGAGCTAACTTACGATAAAAGGAGATATTGAATTGTACCTGAGAGAGACGTTCGGTATGTGAGCGCAGAGCAGCGCGTATACGGCGGCGGAGGCGCCGACGACGCGCACGTGCGGCTGTAGCGCGCCGGCACCCAGTGCGCCAGCCGCCACGCCGCCCGCCCACATCACCGCCACGCGCCACGAGCTCTGCTCCGTCTCCAGCCGCCAGCCCACCTGTGAAGCAACACTTCATGAACATTGGCGTTCGATGCTAGCTGTAGCGGATTGTATCAAATGGGTTAAAGGATGGATGCTAACAACCAATGAGCAAGGTCAAGCAAATGTACTTACAGATTAATAATAATTTAGTAGAAAATACGTATGTCGCTAAAGCAAAACAGCAAACACTAGTAAAGTCAAGAAAAAGGCGCCAAAAACAAATACACTTAAATTTAGAATTTAAGAAGAAAACTAAAACTTAAAGAGACTATTATAAAATATATAGAAAAAGATTTGTAGCGATTCGCTACACTAGCGATAGAACATTTCAAAACACAAAAGTCCACTTACCGCTAAAGCAACAAGAGCATTAAGCGCGAGATGCGCGTTTGTCGCGTGCACCCAGCCGTAGGTAAGTAGCCGCCAGGGCTCGCGCCACCACCCGCTCGGCGACCACTCGAGGACCGCGCGAAGGTCCGCCGAACCCCATGCGTGGATGCACACCTGCCGAACAACGGCGCATACTAAATTACACGATCCTCGTTACCCCGAGCCCCGAACGCAGGTATTATTCGATTCATAGACATTTACACCACTTACCATTATGATGATCATGCTGAGAATAAAATAGGGCGGCTTGAGGGCAGCGATAATCTTGTCTTTCCTTTTCTGCGACCTTGTCTTCGCCTTGGGATTCCCAAACCTGGCGGAGAGCGTGCACTTCGAGTGCTTCTTCGGCGAGTTGCGCACGGTGAGCGTGAGGCCGGACTGCAGCCGCGACTTGTGTGCGCCGGGCGCGGGCAGCAGGCGGCGGCTCTCCCCGGGGCTGTTGGTCGCGCTGCCGGCGGCGCGCTCCGGGTCCTCGTGTTCGAGCCACGCGCGCGCCGGCGGCGGTCGCGGCGCGTGCACGCGGCCCGCGCCCGCGCCCGCGCCCGGCACCGGCACCGGCAGGTAGTCGGCGTGCGCGCGCGTCCGCTCGGTGCTCGCCTCCTGAGCCATCGCGCCCTGCACGAGGCTCTACGTTCATCTCCGACCGAAACCTCTACTCCGCGACCCACCGGTGCGGCTGCAACAAGTGTAATATCTCCGTGACAAGCTGCCTCCAATTTATATCTGACTTAAACAGGAAAATGGAGAGAATACCTAATTGAATTCTACTTAATAAATTAAAATAAAACAGTATAATTATTAGGAATTCCCTGCCGAAGCCAGAGCGGGAAGTACTAATCGGGAGTTAATTTGTTTGCGGTTTTGTACGCGCCGGCGCAAGGTGCGGTCGCCGCAGACGGCGCGGTGCGGCGCGCTAAAGCCCGTAAAAGCTCCCGCTGTCGCTTGTGACAATTCTTCGATAGTTACAACGAAGGACCTCTTTGTCATGTTTGTCCATTCGTCTGCACCGATAAACGTGAAATTTAGCGTGATATATATATAGAATATATTGTTAACTCTATAATGGACATAAATAAATTTTTGGAAAAGATTATTTTTTTCTATCAACAAAGGGAATGCAGTACCATTGGTATTTTTATGTAGTAAATTATGATAAGACAATGTAAATATATATTGTCTAATCCTCCTGACAGTCTAGAAATTCCCTTTAAAGGCTTTAAAAATTCGAATTATTAATTTTTCATTCCACAAAATATTTGACAATTAACGTAGCGCTTATTGCATAAAAAATAAATTTTAAATAGTTCGACAGAATAATGCTTGATTTATTCTGCATTTACACCAGCCTTTGGGCTACGGAACCCTGTTATAAGCGTGTGCGACACCCTCTTTGCCCATTTCTATTGCATTTTAGTACTCGAATAGGATGGAATGTCCACAAATATGTCCACAAATCGCTTCCCAGGGTATCGTGACCGTAGCCTCGAATATCCGTGTCTGAGCTATAAATACATTTGAGAATTCCAAGTTCGATACGTGCTTAATGAGCGTCCGCATGTGTTCACGGAGGATGCACTGTGCAATTTATGATAATTCACTAGCAGATAATTAACAGGCGCGTATTATGACCGATAAATAATTGCCTCTTTAGCCGAATGGTCACCATGCTGCTCTGCCAAACAGAGGTCCCAGGTACGAGTCCCGGGCCGGGGGAAGAAGAGTTTTTTCTCGGGAGTTTGAGTGTAACGTATGGTTGTCTATGTGTGTGTCTATGGTGTCCATAGTGCGGGACTGTGAGTGTGTGCGTTAAAAAATGAATAAATGCTTGCGGTACGGTCAGTAACAGGGGTTTCAACCTTTTTACTATGAATGTACAACGGCATTCAGTCACAAGTCACGTTGAATTGGTACTGTAATTAATAGCTATCTTGTCAACTTCGCTTGGCGTACCAAATGTTATTTCTGTGTATACAATAAAACATTCTGTGGTCAGCTGATAAATGCTTCCTCAAATGAAAAGACAGGAAGGAATTGTCTTTGTATAAGTAAAGCTATTAATATATTGCGCGACTTATTTAAGTACTTTAAATACTCGTGCGCATTTGTCTTACACGATAATGGACACAAATACTGCTACAAAGATTTCTCACATAGATTAAATGCATCTCAGTCGCCAGCGCACAACGCTTCTGCACAGTTACTTCGCAGCCACGAGCGGCGATGAAGGGTCGAACACACACAACACACAACAGCGGCAAAGCCTCGGCTCTGAGCTGAAATATTCAAGCGGTGTTCTTCTAATTAATATTTTGTCATTTACTCATCAACAGTACACAGAGATGATCGGCGGTCACTAAAATTTATAATGATGTCAAAATACTGTCAAACCATTAAAATATTATTTCTAAAAAGATTGAAATAAATCTTCGTTGACATTCAAAAATTATTTTTAAAGAAATTGAAAACTTGTTGCCAACACTTATACTTAATATACACGGGTAAGAACTTAAAAACACGAGATAGATTATTATATTGTTTGTGCTCACTTGAAGCATTGAAGTAATTGAACAGATCACTCGGTTACTCTCGCAAGCCGTGTCTATTTGACCAATGTATTTTTAAATAGGTAATTAACGTAAGTGATCCAATGACCTTAAATACGAATACATGATTATTGGTGATAAATGTGAGCCAATATCAATTTTCATTCAAAATCTTTGTTATTATTCTATGATGATGTATAAATTGAATGTCATCGTAGTAAACAACGTGACATTCAATGAATAAACTTTAAAATATTTTAAATTTCTCGGACAAATATCTGGATTCTACAGAGCTACTTTAACTTGCTACAATTTTATGAGATTTATACAATGTTACTTCCAAAATTGAGTACCACTATGGTCAAGTTACTATAGAAGAGGCATGACGTCCTACTCATAGTAGACAATAACTTCAATTAATTCCTCTTAAATAAATACAAAACAAACAAATACTTTGACGAGTTGTCTGAAAAAGTGTGTGTGTGTGTGTGTGTGTGTGTGTGTGTGTGTGTGTGTGTGTGTG